CAGCGTTTTATACTACTTATGTCGATATAAGAAGCACACATCACAACATCAGTATCGATTATAGTAAAATACGCTTTAAAAATATTGTAGCTTGAAAATAACAACTAAAATCACGATACACATAAGTATAAAATAATCTTGAAACTCAAGGGTTAGAGCACAATGACAACCAAGAAAAATTGAAGCCTTTATAATTACTTTTAATTCATGATTATACTGGCATAACTCCGTAGTCCACTAATAGGTATTAACCATAAAACTATATAAGTGATGTATCAAAAACAAACTTAAAAATTACAGTGTTAATTATGTAAGTCAAATATTTTCGTTTAAAAAAAGAACATTCAATCATGTGAAGAGAGAGAGAGAGTGAGTGAATGTGGAAATAATGGACATGAGAAAATTCTTTAATATTAATTACAAATTGTAAATGCGTAGATTATATATAATTTGTTAGTTTATTCAATGATATTTTCAGTTTTCTTATATTGTAAATGCTATAGAATAAGTTAGTTCAGGTGAATGTAGTGATATATATATATATATATATATATATATATATATAGTGGTTTCATGTTTAGTTAGGGAATGCTAGTTTTTCATCACCTGGATAGCTTTATATGTTCATTATATATTAGAGGTATAGGACTTTGCTTTTCATCGGAAACCAATATCCACGATGTGGGCATGAGTTTGAATCCCACCTACGACACATAATTTGCCCCCAAATTCCCTGGTACGGTCGAGGGTGGGGGTGAGTCAGTCCTTTCTCTCTCTCAAAATGATTTCACATGGCCACGCGTATACAGCCACGGCCGGAGTAGTCCTTCCTACATATTTCTCGTGGCGGGGATGTTGTTTACGAAATTGAGAGGACGAAAAGCGAATGTCTGGCGCTTTAACCGGGGTTGGTGGACACAAAGTCTGCCTAGGGAAGTTGGAAAACCCTAATTCCAAACCAATGGTGCACATGGGCTCCAGGATCCTGAGGGAACAAATAGCATATGAACCAGTCGTCGGTCACCAGATACCATGGAACTGCATCTCCTCATGATGCTTCACTGCCTTGTGGGTCAGACCTTTAGGCCAAAGGCTTGGGGTGTGGCACCCTAAGAAAATCACCTGCTTCGGTCTGGGCACCCGGGTAGTATCACAGCCCACACACAAATATAATGATAATGAAAATGATGGTATTTACTGAAAACTCTATTCTCGCTTCGATTTACAGTCAGACAATTCACATTATTATTATTATTATTATTATTATTATTATTATTATTATTATTTACTACGTCATTTACTCACTCTTATTCCCACTCTGTCAATCTTTACTTTTCGACCTATATAGCAGCTCGCCTACAGTGGAATTTCGGTTCTATCTAAACGTTCCCAAGTCACTGCCTGGTTGAAAATTGTATGCTACCACCAAATACGAATACTGAGACAGTTTTTCTGAAACCACGTGCACCATCCAAACTGGCTGCCTTCAACTTCCGCACACTTATGCAGATCGGACAACAGATAGGGCTGGCTGTCTTTGGAAAGTCTTAACATTGACGTTTGTTGTCTATCCGAGACCCGTATTAAAGACTCTGGTGAAGTACTACAAATTCGCTCTCCGTCTGTCGCTTCAAAAAGCTTGTTTTACGTGCGTTTATCTGGGGACCGTGAGGCATCTTCTTCTGGTCTTGTTGGCGTTGGTGTCGCGCTAAGCGCTAGAGCTGAGGCAGCACTAGTCGATTGGATCCACATTAACAGTCGGTTATGTGCTGTTAGATTAGAAAGATTCATCAAAATGAGAAGAAATCGGCGTGAGAAACGATATTTTTAGTCATCTTCGCCGATGCCTCGACAGAGTGCAGCCCGGATGTAATCAACGATGAATTCTACCACCAATTATCTGTTCTTCTATAGAAAGTGCGTTCGACAGATATTGTAGTACTAGCCAGAGACTTGAATGCTCAGGTCGGGCGTCTAGGCACAGAAGAGAGTCGTTTAGGTGGCCGATGCGGACTTGTTGGTCGCAGGACAGATAACAAGGACCGTCTACTGCAACTGTGCCTAGACCACAACCTATTTCTGGCTAATACTAACTTCCGGCACAGTCATCGCCGATGTGCCATCTGGCGTCCTCCCTCTGCATCTGAAGCCTGGACTCAGATTGATCACATCGCGATCAGCTACCGCTGACATGGTTGTGTACAAGACTGCCGCTCGTTTTGGAGTACCTATTTGGACTCTGATCATGCCTTGGTCTGCGCCAATCTTGCCTTACTTTTCAGTGGACAACGAAGTGACCGTTAGCAAAGGATTGATGTCAGCAAGTTGGTTGCAACTTCTGTTGCTAGTAAGTATCGAACCGAGCTAGCCTCTAGGCTAGCTACCATTCCACCGAAAAGTATAGATGAGCATTGGATGCAATTGCATGACGCCATGAAAATGGCGGGTACAGTCAGTTGTGGGTTCGTGAAACGTCCCGCTTATAAGTACTGGGTTTCTTCAGATTCCTTACAACTCATTGAACCCCGTCGTTCTACTCCGGGTGAACGTGAGTTTGACCACAAACGAAGGATGTTACGTAGGGAAATTGGGCAAATCTTGCGAAAGCACGGAGAAGCCTGGTGGTCGGAGTGTGCTAATGAGCTGGAAGCAATAGCTGCATCTGGTAACTACCGGAAGCTCTTCCAACTCATCCGAGCCACTGGCAGCAAGAAGTCTGGTGTGAGCGAAACAATCCACGAGGATGATGGGATGCCAATCACTAACATCCATCGACGTCTTGGACGATGGGCAGAATTCTTCAAAGGGCAGTTCAACTGGCCTGCTGCTCCGTCAACATCGGTCAGACTGTCCTGCCCTCCATGGCCGGTGACGACTGATCCACCAAACGAGGAGGAAGTCCTCAAGGAACTCCAACTCCTGAAGCGTTACAAATCACCTGGCCCAGATGACTTACCTCCGGCTCTTTTAAAAGATGGTGGTGACTGTTCGACTAAGGAATTGACGACGTTGTTTACAAAGGTCTGGGAACTAGAGAGTGTACCAACGTCATGGAATGAGTCGATAGTTGTCCCTATCTTTAAAAAGGGTTCACGTCGTTCCTGTAACAACTACCGGGGGATAAGTTTACTTCCGATTGCGTCCAAGCTATTGGCTTCCGTCATACTTCGTAGGTTGTTCAAAACCCGGTGGCTTGGACATGTTCTACGAATGTCGTCCCAGAGAATTCCACGTCGTGCATTATTTGCCGACTCTGGGACTGGTTGGGAAAAGCGGAGAGGTGGTCAGTTTATGACATGGTGTCGGAGTATGAAAGAAAGCTGCGAAGGGCTGGCTTCTGTCGGTCCTTCACGACTCCCTGGCTGGGATCCGAGAGATGGTGCTACACAGTGGCTAGAGACGTTATCAGAAAAGGCTCAGAATAGAGGCCAGTGGCGATCCTGCTGCAACCTTCTTTTACTTTCCTCATAAAAAGTGGTTGTATCTTCCTTAAATGAATCAATTCTTTCTGGTTGCACCTTTCCGTTTCTCTCATTATTATTATTACTACACTACCTTACACTAACCTGTGGTCGTTATCGTTCTCTTCCGTTTTTTTCATACGTATCATACAATATTTTACTCTTACAATTCTCATTGTTATGTGTGGCGCATATGTATTTGGTGCCCCCTTGTACCAATATTTATGTGTTCAAATAAATAAATAAATGGTTGAGATTCTATCAAAATAGCACTCTTTATTTTCCTCTCGACTTTGAATTCATAAATGCCTTTCTACTGAGTAATTTTTAACTATATTCTCAATACTCAATCTTATTAACAGTGTCGATACATTATTTCAATTCTTATTGTATTTGTATATTTTAAATTTGTCTTGTCCTGTTAATGTTGTATTGTAAGTTTAGATAATGCATATTATGTAGTAGGCTGCACGTTAATTATGACTGATTGACTATCATCTGCAACCGAGAAAGGTTACTTCATAAATGTTGTATTTTGAAAACTGAAGATAAAAATACATAAATTTTCGCTTCCTTTTAGATTAACTCAATGTATAAATATATACTATATACATAACTAAAAGATGCACATCAAATCGCCTCGTGTTGTTCACCACGAGACAAACTTAATGTTTACATCTGGTTTCGGGACAAGTCGTAGATCAGGCCGATCTCTATCGAAAACCTATGTTAGTTTATGAAGCACAGCATCACGATCTTCTGAATACTGCAAGCTCTAAGTTCGATTTTGGTTGGTAATAGTTTAATGTGGTTGGAAATAACATTTAGTAACGACCGTATGTAACAAAACAGTCAAAAGAATATGTGATGCCTCGTGAAGTGGGAAGACTATTTCATTTATTCAATTTATATAACCTGATGTGGCATATCGAATAATAATTAAAATACTTCTTTCATCTTAAAGGACTCATATTATACGGTTGAAATACACAGCTTAACTAAAAGACTTCATGTAAAATCTTTTTTTCACTGGAACGAATGAACCTATAACGATAAATCACAACTTTCAAGAGTATGGATAATCAAAATGTCGAAACGACATAATGTAAACGTATTACATGATTCACAAAAAAATATTGTTCAAAACTACAACAATCGCAAATCCAGTGCTTTTGAAAACCATTTACTTCAATTTTAAAAAAAACTTAAACACAACCCTCTATGTAAACTGAAAATTATTACACATATCAAACGATTAATCTCACTTAATTATCCGTTAACAGATATTATATCAATTTCAATAGTTGAGATCATGAGTCAATTGAAGCTAGACCACCATCGGAAACCTGGAAGCATTGAACGGCTATTTCGTCTTACTGTGTGACTCCTCAGCAATACACATCCATGATCCCGCCTCGCGAGATTTGAACCCAGGACCTATCAGTATTGCGCATGAACGCTTAACCACTAGGCCACTGAGCTGTCATCCAATGGTGCTAATGTCTAACTTCAAATAATCCACGAAATTGAGCGACAAATTATTTCAACCAAACTTTTATTTACAAGCTAGTTTAGTGAAGATTTCATTAAATTAGTAAACAATAATTCTTTTATTGCTTTGTTTATTTCGTTCGTAGAACATTTCTAGAGTAATTTATACAATGAAGCAACTGAAAATTGACAAAGTCAATCGAAAATAAACCAAATGAAGAATACGAAACAAAATAAATTGAAGACAATGGAGTAACAATAAAAAGACGAACTCAACTTTAACATCAATAAGCTAAACCTCAAATAAATAAAAAACTGGATTCATTAAGTTGAACTAGCTACGCATTACTCAGTGAAGAGATGGTCAGGATTTTATAAAATCCTACAAAGAATAGGAGAAAATGACAAGAATGAATAACAGTAGAATAAAAAAGAAGAAATGTTGAAGTTTATTAGACAATAAAATCTTCCATATATATATATATATATACTACAGGGAATACAAGTAACATAGGTGATTCTATGAATGTTAATGACAAATAGAAAAGTGAGATATTACCGAGAAACAAAGATTACAACTTTATCCTTCCACCCTTTCACAAATACAGATGGTTGAGCAACTATGCGAAATAGTGTCAGATTGAAATAAGTAAATATTCTATGCAGAGACACAGAGACAGAGAGCACAGAAGATATGAAAAGATGATTGTTCCATGACTTTGTAATACGTGTCATTTCTTAGATAAATTTTGTAATAATGTTTCAACATCAAACCGTTAGAATATCATTTAAAACAATATTTGGTACAATTCCATTAGCCATGAAACGAACAGAAAAAATATCGGACCGGTTACAAAATCACGGACGAATAACAGGTAACTAAAAGACAGTGCATTTCTTAAAAATAATGAAGAAAATTAAAATGTAACAATGGACAACCAAACTCCAACCCTTTTCCTTCACATTCTACAATAATAATAATAATAATAATAAGGCGTAGAAATAAAAGACAAAGTCGTGATACATATAAGGAAAAAGACCACCAATGCATTCGTTGAGTGTGTTTTTTTTCTTTCGAAGACTAATTACAGGGAAGTATAAAACAGAGGGGTAGGACGGATGAAGATCTAATTGATTTCATGTAAATAAATTTAAAAAAGCGAACTATGAAAAACAGAAAGGCATTCAATTTTCAAGTACCATATACAAACACATTCATATCGTTATTATCACGGCGAACATAATGTTTATCAATAAGCCATTCTAATACTTCTTTAATTAATCGTTTCGACGGAACAAATTGAAATCGTAATAGATCAACTAATTCTTGATATAATTCATTATGATGTAAACGTTTACGTGTTTTTAATAATTTAATTATGCCCTCTTGTGCACGTAGTTGACGTAATTCCACAATAGCCATACTTTCTTCTTCATTTGTTATTTCATGAGTTAATTGGAGTCGACCTATCAGATTGATTCTTCGTCGATTTTGAACTTTGCCCATTTTCCTATAAAAACAAAAAGAACATTAAAAATGTATAGAAAAAAATGAAGCGTGTAATACATTCAGTATAATTTATTGCCGGTTCATTGATCCAAATTAACTGCCACCAGACAGGAAGGTCATGGATACGATGCCTGACAGGATCATGTAAGTGTAATGGCAAAAGTCACATACTATGAAGAAACAGTTGTCTAGAGATTCCTGCTTTTTGATGGTTATCCAGCCAAGATCAATCTATGATCCGGACTAAGAAATTTAACTGAACCCTTGAAAATATACTAAATCAGCCTGTCGTGTTGATTTGATACGAACTAAACTGTGTGAGGGTGAGTGATACCACCTAGTAGTTCAGGTCTAGGTAGCTGGCACGGGTTTAGAACCCGAAACTTAGTGACCGAAAATCGAAATAATTCATCGCTCTGCGATTGAATATGAACAAGTTTTCTGTCAGTTTCCAATTATCTGTATTTGTTTGCCTGGCCGCTCTATTTCAAGTTCCACTGGCTGTCCTAAATACACATTTTTACAAACATTTTCAATTGATTATTAGCCTTCTGTTATCTGTCCAAAAGTGACAGGAGAGTTCGGGTCATTAAACATTGTAAGGTAACATACAGAGGCAACCTTTCCAGTTAGATAGAAAACTAAAACCTCAACTCCTTCAGTTATTAGTTACGTTTTGATATACAAGTCCCAAAGCTACCGTTTCAATACACAGATAGGACTGACTATTGGAAAACTGGGCACTGTCAATAAATGATCAGAGATTTTGTAGTTAAATAGCAACGACTTCTATTTAGTTGACGACGCTAGAGATTAAAGTACAACAGTGTCAGTGAGATTATGATTAGCTGTAGTTTGATAAGAAAACAAATCAATCTTTGGCCACTTCCATTCGCAAATCGCATAATTCATTAGAAAAGACATATTTTATGACAATTAATATAAGCCAGCTCGAATCGTCATGTATATAAAACCTTGCCTTTCATAACAATCCAAAGTTAAATTGAAATTAAAAACAAATGACCTCTCAGAGCAAACAAAACTGCATACTATGTTATGATTAGATAGGATAATTGTTTGCCTTTCATTCAGTTTCACAATAAATAACAATTATTACATTCCCCAATATAAAGAAGGTATTTGGTACCGTCAGTTGAGCAGCTTTGTAACATCGTCTGTCAATGAAAGGTATTTCAGTTTGCTGTTACAAAATGTTTGATTTAAACAATATTCATCACAGTTATCTACCCTGTGCATTTTTATCCAACTTCATCATAAACACAACTTTGTCATCTGACATTTTAGAGATCAATCTACTACATAAAGGTTTCCTCATTTACTTAAACGTTTTTCTTTTAGGTCACAACACTAATAAAATATGGCCTTCTACACACCTTAAACAACTCTGTTATTCAGTTGCAATGTGATCACAATTGAATAACGACCCAGTGAAGTTACATTGCGTAATAGAGCTAGCGAACAATCTCTCTCATTAGCATTATTTTAAAACCTTGAATTTAAACGATAAACAAACAAAATAACTCAAAACTTGAATAGTTTGGATTAGGTACATCAATAAACTTCATATATATCATTAGATAAACAAATTAACGTAAATATTTTCCACAATACAAGTTGTCTTTCTCATTCAAATATTACGGATAACTTACGTATTTGTAAATTTTAAATTAAGCCAGAATTCCGTTTTAGCAGTGAATTGTTTTTCAGAGCTTACTTTAGGAGAATAACAAATAATCTGTTGTTCTAATTTAGGATGTTCACATAGTGACTAAAAAGTATGGAAAAAATATATACAGAATGTAAAGATGATAATCAAATATGACACTTAATAACAGGACAATATGTAAATGATATACGAAACGAAAATGTGACGAGAAAAAATAAACACCCCATGAAGTACACTATGTAATAGTCTAAATCAAACTACCATTGAAAACTAAGAATTAATGAATAGTTGCTTCTTACTAATGTTGGAACATTTATCTCATTAAATGTGTATATCTGTCAGCGTGCCTAGGATCTCTCTACACAAAACATCTCTTACACACACATACATGAAATCGTAGTGAACACTTAAATGAATTAAATCAAACTTGAAGGAAGAAGGAAAACAGTCGAACTAGCGAAAAAAGAAGCTTAAAAGACATACTGCTGTGATCGTTATTTCTATTATTTTTTCTGCAAATAAATAACAAGATATATTCTTTTTCAAGAGTAATACAATCAGATAGTATTCAAGCAAAAAATTCAAAATGGTAAGTAAGATCTTTTTTTGACATTGACACAACATATTTTCAGCGTATGAGGGGTTAGATATATATAGTGTATTAGTGTATATCGTCATACTATATTGTTACTATATATAGTCATTAAAATTGAATGATTCTAAAAACGTTATAAGTATCTTAGTATCGATATGTTTGAATAGTGAACAACAAATACTTAATCGCTGAAAAATTCTCATCATATTAAAACACAAATATATGAACGAAGAATATTCCTTTCAGTAAATCTTCTTCCGGTTCTACAATTATATATTCAAATGAATAATCCAATAAGTGACCAAAATTAAGGCAAAATACATCGTTTAAAATTATAGCATGTGAATTAAGGATTGTTTGTAATAGAAATTAAAACAAATCGTTAATGTTGGGTTAACTAATATAAAGTGTTGGTTTGAATAAACTTATACGTCAAGTGAAATTGTGAAATAATTGACCATTAACATGAGAATCCTTTAGACGGTTGAAGTAATAGCTATTTAGATCAAAACTCGGAGCTTCGCTCCTGAAAGAAATACGTCCAACCGCTCCATTTGTGGTGTATGATACTTATGTTGACAGATATAAGTTGTATGCAACACAAATCGGAAGAGCAATACCAGGCAGCAGAAGATTGAGAAGATCAAATTGGAGAGAACAGGAATGTAAAGAGAGAGCAATTTTAATAACAACAGAATTGAAAGAATCATGAAGCGTGTAAAGGACAATTGAAGGAAGGTGTGCAGATAATATACTGAAAGTATAGTTGTCATCTTTTGTGAAAGCACTCTTTAATTTTGCACTAAACAATAAATTGATTTTCCCCATCTGTGTTTTCGTTCATATCACTTTTACCTTTGTCAATTTCTGGCCTGATTATTTAACAATCATTTTTTCATGATATGGTGACGTATTTTGACTGATGTTCATTTTCATAGCTTACACTTATTTTATTCACACACTTATCATTGTTACTCTTATTATTATTATCATAACACTTGCAGACGCTTTAAGAAATTTATTCAGCATTCACCTATATTTACTAATTCATACCTAATTCATATTATTCTACACATTACGTGCTTTCTTATTTGTAATTACATTATTCTCTCTCTCTCCCATCACATTTTGACCTTATTTATCTGATCATTTTTCTCGCCATTTCACTTAAAGTATAAACTTACTCAAGTCAACATTTCATATTAGTTAACCCAACATAAACGAGTAGATTTTATTTTCTATTACAAACAATCATTAATTCACATGCAAGGCGGCCTGCTGAAAATAACTGGGCTACCTGTTTCTACCATCTAGATATTTCAACAAGTTATCTGTATTTTGTTTGTTTCAACAGATCATTATGTCAATTAATTGCACAACCTATTCAGGTGAGTTTGTGAACATGTTCACGACATTTCGTTGTACAAGTTAGGAAGGAACACAATCAGAGACATTGTGGTTGCTAGCAATATACATTGAAAAGAATGTACATTGTTCGGATGTCGATTCCTAAATTGCTAACATCTAATTGGCGACCACTCAATTTATATATATTTTAAACGATGTATTTTGCCTTAATTCTGGTCATTTATTGGATTATTCATTTGAATATATAATTGTAGAACCTGAAGAGAATATATTGAAAGGAATATTCTTTGTTCATATATCTGAATGTTTTAATTAGTGAGTTTACAAAATGATTTGTTTTTTTCTTGTCTAGAAATGCTTTTAAATATCAATGTATTGGGAATTTTGATATAAAACAGATTATCTGGTACTTTTATAGGCGATGTTAATTAGAGAAATTGAAGACATGCGAATAGTCGCATTTGTAGTAAAGGGAATTATAAATTATGTTTGTATGTAATCGTCGGGAAATAAAAAGTTTATAATTATGAAAATTGGAATTTTTATTATACTGTCTCTATCAGAAAGACTCCGACAGTTATATAATGGTCATCCTAGTAGAGAAGTGAATTCAACGCTTGATTACCGTATTTTGAATAAGGAATGTATTCATCTAATCTTAAGCCATTTTTATTATCCAAACTCGTCAGCGATTGATCACTAAAATCTCTCCTCTACACACGAATCAGTTCAACAGTCAGCAATTTCACGAACTGACGTGTTAATGTATTTTCCCTCAACCCAACACCAGTGCTATCCACTTAGAATAAGTCGTATGTAACACAGAGCAAATGTATGTTTCAAATACATTTGTCTATAAAGTAAAAGAAATTATAAATGTATGCACAATCATGTTTCAATCTGAATTTATTATTAACTTCTTATTCAACAGATATGATATATTGGCATGAATTAAACTCAACCGTAAGTAAACTTCCTCCACCTACATAGCGCATTAGGTGAGTATCACTTCCGTGACAAAAAGTTATTAAGCATAATAATAATAATAATAATAATAAATATAATAGTTTTTTCTACCTCTGTATTATCGTTAAAAAGAGAACTACTTCTTTATAACAACAGATAAGTTCTCGAACAATTCAATGATTAGTTGTCTTTAAATAAAAATAAACTTAAAGTATCTTAACATAAAATGATTAACGATAATCAAGAATATTAGAAAACTGATTTAGTTAAAGATAATATTATCAATATATTCAGAATAAATGAAACAAACTACACAAGACATATAGTGTAGTAAACGAAAACTCAGTTGAGGTAAACCAATTTATTGCTTTATGCAAAATCAAACAGTAGCTTTGTAAAATATCAAAATTATACATTCAATACATCATCTTCGTATTTTCTGTCAGTTGTCCTTTACACGTTTCATTATTCTTTTAATCCCACTGTCATTCCAATTACTCTTCGTTTTCCTTCCTCTTCTCTTTATTTCATTCTTCTGATTGTAAGTATTCTACTTCTGATCCCTGTTACATACTATTTATTTCTGTTCGCATAAGTAGCGTAAACCACAATATGTATATATTTATATAAGTAAATAATATAAAACATACCCATAATGTTCGACGAAGATCAACATCTTGTAAACCAGTCGAAGTAAGCAAACAATCTAAATGAAGGTGTTGATCATATCTTCTATTCCAAGCGTATAAAACAACAAGCTGATAAGTGGTCACTTCAAATTCATAACGACCATGATCACTTGTATAAGCCAGTACTCCGTGAGATAAATGATGTTGCCATAGAAGACTCCGACCTTGATGTTTCTGACGATAGAAATCTTCAATCTGAAAAGGTATGGTTGAAAAATAATAGTAATAATAAACATAGTACCTGTAACAAAATTACAAATTATGAGGAAACTTATCAAACAATATAATTAGCTGATAATATCTTGATAATTAATATTTAATTATAAATATTCAAAGTAAATAATGGTAATGGATGTTGGATACCATTATTAACCAAAACACTAATATGTATTCATATTTAGTAAGTTTGAAAGAGGTATAAAATACATTTACAATATCCCATTTGTCACTTAAATTGTTTATTCTGGTTGGTGTTTTTCTTATAACAAATTTATCGGAAGGGAGGCTTTATGAAGATTTTAGTAATTTGATAACTGAATTCATGATTCGCTTGAAGCTATACCACCATGAAAAACCTAAAAGCACTGGACGGCTGTTTCGTCCTAGTATGCGCACTGCGGAGGAGCCCCATACTAGGACGGAACGGCCATCCAGTACTACCAGGGTTTCCCGTGGTGGTCTAGATTTAATTGACTCATGAATTCAATTATTATCGCAAAGTTGTTTTCTACAAAATGGAGTTGTTGACTGCATGCTCAACCCTCCTCCCTTATACGGATTTGGGATTGGCAGTAACCCTAGAAGAGCTACAGGTGGTATCTATTGGTATCCATTACATAGTGAAAATATTATATTTTTAATTGATACTTGATACTGAGATGTGTTACATATTCATCAACGTCTTATAAGGTGATCACAGTTATAGCTGGTATAAATCACTGCTAACATTTTAGATTGTGAAATTGTATGATGTGAGGAGGAGTAACATTAAGTAATTAATAATCTCAAGTAGGTAACAATAAATAAAACTAGACAGAAAAAAGGATATGATTTTAACTATTAATTTCGTGTGGATATGTAAACATGGTGAAGTTACAGAAAGACTATAATACCAGATTATATAATATTAATGGTAACAATAAAAGATCGTATGTGTGCATATAGAAAGCGCCTTGGAAGATATAATAAGTTAACAATGAATTGTAATGTGAATGAAATAAGATAATTAACATTTTTTTATTACAATAATTAAAGGTGATAGAAGGGTTAAATGAAACAAATATGAACAAAATCATGAGGATATGCGGGGTAATTAAAGAATAAATAAGTCCATTGAAACATATCCCTAAATCCTCAGAAGGCCGCTCAAAAAAACCAGCAATAACTTTACACTCAATTGAATCTGAAAATATAACTAATTAAAATGGAACAAGAATCGTGCAAAAAAGTTTTAGTTCACATTCAAAAAAAGAATAATAACAGCAGAAGACGTACATATATGGACAAATCCAAACAGTACTAACAGGTGAGATGGAATAAAGTTAGCTGTCTCATGGTAACTAATAATGAACCAGTCAACTTGAGCTCTTTATTCCATTTAATTTATCACTTGTTATGTGGAAAACAACGATCATCTTCATTTGTTCTAATCAGTTGGTTTACCTGAATAGATAATGACCAATCAATTTGACCAAGATAATAACGCCAAAATTTTCTTTTCTTGTTTATTTATCTTCAATTTATGCGTTATTTGACATGTTTAACTGATGTCATCTATGAAAACTATCTGATTTCATCAAAAATAGTTAAAGGACTTTATTTCTATCACCTTAGATCCACTTACACATACATACAATCTGATATCGTAACATACTTTTCTGAACTTTTCATATCAAATTCATTTTGTAATGGTTGTTTGAATCATCCCATTCATGTTTAGGACTGCAACTGATTAGTCTGTTATTGCCATATGTGCATCCTGTAAGGACTGACTTGATATTGCCTTAAGTCATAAGCATTAAAAGCAAAGAAGGGTGATGCCAGGACGAGCGTTTCGCCCTACTTCGGACTCCCATCAAATGTTTTATACTCACTGAACCAAATCTTATTTTCAACATTGTCAACATGATTGGATAACCTGTTTGATAATTTTGATGTTTGATTTCATTTTCATGAAAAAGCTTAAACCAGACTACCGAGTGAAATGTTTAATCGCTGAGATTTACACAAACATAATTTTACTCATTAAATATTTCTGCATTTTGTACTACTCAAACTTGGATTAATTTAATTTGGTTATTTATCCTCTGAAGAAGTGGCTTACACTGTGCCACGAAAAGTCAACAAAATTAAAAACTTAATTTTTTCACTCATTTGGATATTACAAAAATGTATTATTTTTATTTACAACGATCTACCTAATGCTCAATTTAGTTGAAATTATCAAGCCAAACCTTGATAATGATACCTATTTCTACATTTATATATGAAATGTGTGGATGAGTTGACAGTGATGGTAATTTGAATGAATTTCTGAGTTATGACACCTCCCTACAAATACTGAAATATATTGTAATTGAAAATTTAGACCAATATAAATTACGGTCAGATTTTATAAACACGCATATCTGTATGTGTTGCATGTAACTTTAATATTACCAAAAGTTAAGTTACCTGAGGAAGGAAATCTTCTAACTCCGCTGGTAATGAAATAGATGATTGTGGCTGAGGACGTAAAAGCCATGCACCACCGCTCAATATTTTAATTGTTATGATGTCTAAATTTAACGATGGTGTATTATTTGATATGCATGATGTAGAACATTGTGGAGATATTTTATATTTTTCTTTGAATTCAGAAGTGAGGTCATGTGATATTTTAATATCCTGAAACATTCGACCAAGTTTATTAATTTGTTCAGCTGGCATTCCAACTTCCTGAAAATACAATTTTTTCGATAGAAAAAATAAAGTCAGTAAATTAAAGTAAATTAACGCACATAGAAAGAGAGACAGGACTTATGATTAAATAACTCGAACTAAATTCCATCCTTTCAGTATTCATAACTTAATTTTGCAAGTGATTCATTGTTCAAACTTAAGGAATTAAGAGAAAAATACTCCTAAGATATTCAAACATGCTTGATAATAGTTAATCGTCGTCAAAGTTATTATGCCTTGCATCATTAGTAGAGTAGTATATGAAATTAACAATTAGGTAAGAAGTAAAGAAGATTAAATGATATTAACTTTATTGAACACCACAACACGAGAATTTATTATACAAAAGGAAAAAAATGAAATTGAAGAAAATAAAGTAAGGAATGTTATTTAATTGAAGATTTAGAAGAACAAAAAGAAGAAATGTAAAATAATTACAAGAGAGTTTAAGAACTAATCGTTTCATTCCCCAGAATGGATGATATTATTATTATTATTATTATTATTATTATTATTATTATTATTATTATTACTATGCATAGTTAGATACTTTCAATTAAACAGCGAATTATTGATTCAGTAATCCTTGAATATAACACGAATTAAACAACTGAATAAAAGATTCAATATTGAATAAGTCCAGTTATTTTGTGCGGAAGATATTATATAAATGGATAATTTCATATTAATAGACATTCACATTGTAACAATAGATTATATAACTTAGTGGCCATGTCCTCAACTTTTTATAACAAGCTTCACAACAATAACTAAGGAAGAGAGGTGAAATTGAACTAATGATAAAGTAGTTATCATTACCAAGGATTGATTTGATAATTTCGAATAAATTGAGCATTGGGTTGATAGTTCATAAATAAAAATAATATATTTGTAATATCCCAATGAGTAGAAAATTAGATTTTCTGACGTTTCGTGACCTAGTGTAAGTCACTTCTTCAGAGAATAAATAACCAAATTAAAATTAATCCAAGTTTAAATAGTACAATGGAACAATGCAAGAATAATATGATAAAGTGATATCATAATTGAATATTGAGACCCGGTACGAACCTATTTTCGTGTACGTAAACAACAGTTACAGAATCAACTCGTGTATAATAAAATCACAAGTCTTACATAACACTTAGTTTTTAGCTATTCGTACATTTCTTGTTTAGTTCTGAAGGATTCAGTTAGTTATCAGTCACGTGTAGTGCTCTCTACTCGAACACAACTGGTAGAGTGACAGCTTATAGCGAACTGCCATCAGAATTGATTGCCTCAAGTGGTCTTCGTCAGGGCTGCCCACTCTCTCCATTCTTGTTTAACTTTGTCGTTGACGGGCTTTTAGAGATAACACTTTCCTCACCTAAATTTCCAGGAGTTGAACTTACACCGTGAGACTCACTTGTTGACTTAGAATATGCCGATGATATAGTTCTGTTTACTGAAGACGCCGACAAAATACAGTCTTCTGACCACTCTAAACAACAATGTAAGTGTTTGGGATGCGATTCCCCCTCTCGAAATGCAAAATGTTACTTCAGGATTGTACTGCATCGATACCCGAACTAATGATAGGGAGTGAAGTAGTTGGGCGTGTCGATCGCTTCACTTATCTTGGAAGTCTTATCAGCCCTTGCGATCTGCTATTTGACGAAATTTCAGCACGGATACAGAAGGCTCGACTAGAGTTTGCCAACTCACATCATTTATGGCGTAGGCGAGATATCCGTCTATCAACCAAAGAACGGGTTTACTAAGCAGCAAATTATTCCGTCCTACTTTATGGCAGTGAAACATGGCCGGTAAAAGTAGAGGATATTCGTAGGTTACTAGTATTCGATCATATGTGTCTTCGAAGCATTGCTCGTATATCCTGGGAATACCTAGTAATTAATGCAGTTGTTAGGAAGCGGGTACTAGGTTAGGATGGAAAATCAATTGATAAAGTGGTAAAACTTCATCCGTCGAGATGGCTGGGACACGTGTTACGTATGCCCAACGACCGACTGCCTCGACGTGCTATGTTCAGTGGTATAGGAGTAGGTTGGAAGAAAGCTAGGGGTGGCCAGACCAAAGCATGGCACAAGTCCATGAAGTCACTGACAAGTGGACTGAGTCATGTTGGTAGGTGTAGACTACGTGGTTGGGGACCGCGAGATGATAGCAACCGATGGTTAGAGACCCTAAATCACATGGATCAAAATCGTTAGCAATGGCGCAGGCGCATCCACTTTTTGTGTTCTCCCAAATTCTATTCTTCAAAGTACTTCATGTCCCTTTTATTTTTCTCTTTCCAAATTCATTTCACTGGATTATACTCCTTGAATAATATATTCAAACCCTAATCTTTCTGATTACTGCATATACACTTACTACCTCTACCACTAAAGGATTTGAATGGACAATTGTATCTCTGTACTAATGTTGTAAGGCAACCTGAATTGATGTACGTACGTAAGAAGTACTACGTTGTTGCTGACTGATGTGCAGTGTAGAATCTCACGCAAACGTGCATCGGTTCAAGTTGCCATTCCACATTAGCGCGGTGAGATAGAATTATCAAGACCGGGACTATGGGAGACTGAGATCAGTTCGGTTATCAGACACCAGCTAAGATTTCACCCAATCTAACTGCTAATCTTGGACCAACATCCTTAAAAACGTCAGGGGTAATCCACCACGCTCCACTATCCTCTCTCGCTATAGATTGCCTATAGGCCTTTCCAATCTCACTATAATTTGGAGGACCTATGTCAATTTGCTATTTAGGTTACTTGGAGATGGTGGGTGACTGAGAAGTAACTGAGGGCTGGTTGAACTGTCCCCTAAGGTTTTGTTCATCGGTCCAATCTCCTTGATTGAGAATGAATAATAAACCCAACTTTTTCCGAGATAGTCTCACTAGAAGCCTGATTTTTGATATATGTTTCTCTCATAAATATGAATAGTTGTGTACTGTTACTTATTACAGCTGCCTTCCCAATCTCCTTTGATTTCGCTATCCCCTACTATCAACGATTAGTTGCGGACTCCTAACAGGTACTATAGGCAATATTTGATAAAGTGATTTTGGGTAACCATATGAACCCCGACTGTTGCTGCTACCTTGACGTGGTGGTCGGGCTTGCCTATCGTGATGAACCAACTAGGCTATACTGGCTGGAACAATCGTTCCTCAAGGTTGAAGAACGGCAAGACTAAAAGCAGTAAACCCATGTCCAGGTGAGAAGTCATATTGCTGACTGTACAGAGGTGTGATGGCAGTAACAGTGATGCTGCCTTCCGACAAAGAGGGTTGGGGTTAGAAACGGTCTACCCTTAAAATGCACACCTCACCTTATCCCACGGATATCCGTCTCCGGTGGTAAGGTATCAACAAGTACAGAGCTAACACGAAAATTATTCACAAAAAGGTCGTATGTGACTGACCTCAAGCAGTTGTCCCTTGGGCACTGCGGTCACGCTCTCAGGTCACTAAGGCCACCTCTAACCCGATTTCCTTCTCAAGTACCTCCAGAAGAACCCTTTGATAGCGTGGGCAACCGGGAAGTGATAACTGCTCTCATACCTATAACACTCAAGAACCAAAATAACCAACTGAGATCAGCAAAAATCTCAATTAACATCAAAAAATGACAACAGTTTGGTTTGTATAAACATACTCGTAAACGTCCAGCCATTAATTCTTCCATTTCATTATCAGCTGATGTTTCTAGAATTAATCGTCGAGTGAGATGAGATTTATGAACACGCATGAAAATATCTTTACTATTGACATATTTTAATACTAATAAAACATTGCGTAATTTTTGTTCAATTTCATCAGTTGTTAAACGACGATTAGTTGGTGACTTGCGAAGTAACATATCGCAATAAGACGCTAACAATTCAGGACAACGAGATTCTACACGTGAAATACCGCTACTGAAAAAGTAATTCAAAAAAACAAGAATAGACAATAGATATACAGGTGTGGTGTTTGAAAATAGTTAATTTGAATTTTTAAAAATAAGTGCTAATTTTACTGTAAACATTCAACTTGAAAAAAAAATTATGCTTCGTTACCTGTATTTTAACTCTATCAAGGCACGTAAATAATTAAAGATTATCAAATTGCTTGAAAAACTTGTGGTTACCGTTTGACAATATTCCTTTTTGATTTGTTATTTTAAAAGGTATTATTGTTACCATTATTTCAACACATAAACATCGATACAAAGGGGGAACCAAAATATCGTTGATTTTTTACGAAGGTTGAAATACTGTCCGGGTGTTCAAGTCGAAGCAGGTGGTTTACTTAGGGGGCCGATCCTCAAGTCTTTGACTCAGATGTCTAATCCACAAGACAGTTGGGCGACGTTACGAGTTGCAGTCCTATATGGTGGCGGCTGACCAACAATAGGCTCATACGCCATTTGTTCTCTTAGGATATTTGGGGCTCCCAAATGCTCTCACATGGTCACGCGTATATAGCCTCCGCCAGGGAAGTCCTACTACCTGCCTTCCTCCTGGCGACTGCGTTGTTTACGAAATTGAGAGGACGAAAAGCGGATTTACGGCGCTTTAAGCGGGTTGATAGACACGGAGAGTTCATCTAAGGGAGTTGGAATACCCTGATTCCAAACCAATGGTGCACATGGGCTCCAGCACCCTGAGAGAACAAATGGCGTATGAACCAATCGTTGGTCACCGGCTACCATGGGACTGCATCTCCTTACGATGCTCCACTGCCTTGTGGGTTAAACCTTTAGGTCGAAGGCTCCGGGTGTGACCCCCTAAGAAAACTACCTGCTTCGGTTTGGGCACCCGGGCAGTATCACAACCCTCACACATATCGAATGAGATTTGGGTGGCGTATATGTATTTGGTGCCTCCTTGTACCAGTATTTATTTGTTCAAATAAATAAATAATAGATAAATAACTCTTAGGATCCTAGAGCCCACGTGGACTATTTGTTTGGAATCAGGGTTTCCCAACTCACATAGAGGAATCCTCCGTGTCCACCAAACCAGTTAAAGCGCCGGACAATTGCTTTTCGTCCTCATAGCTTTGTTAAATATAGAATGATTTTATAATATATTTATATTGGTAGTTATGAAACTCAAATCTCCGGTGTTATCATAATCTTTAAGGTCAAGTGAAAAAATCTAAAGTACACAACCGTTAGCATTTTTTCCATTTTTTAAAAATAAATATTTTAGCTTTAAATGATAAAACTCTCTTTTTGTTCATTTTAATGTGATGCTAGTTTTGTATACAAAGCGATAAACAATTTAATGTACTTCTATTTGTTATGGTTTAATTAAACTAATATGTAACAGGCTTGCAGATGTATTTACTGTAACTGACCAATACAATAATATCAATATACAACAGTTCAAAATAACACTCTGATATATTATTTCTCACAATCCGAAATTGCTTAAACCGTAAGAAAAAGCCACTTTTTTATTGGTTATCATTAACAAATGGTGTAGAAAATGTTAATATACATCCTTTTAGAATGATTGATAGTAAACTGATAATGAGAAAATTGTATCGCTATAAACCAGTACTAATGAGTATTAATAAAGAAATGTTTTTATTTGAAGTTGTATTTATTGAGTGCCTATTATAAGCATCTTTTTCAATCAGTCAAGCCAATATCTTGTGCAAATTATTAATTTTAATAAACTGTGAACATGAAGTACAGTTTTGTCAATAAAACTACTTTTAAATATATGAATTTACAAAATAAACAACTGATTTTATTAGCAAAGACTTCTATGATCACTGACTGAAGGCAATAGTTTCAAAATTCCGCTTGAGAAACCAAATAATTAGGTGCGTTTATAACTTCGATTTTCTCAGAAGTCTCATTAATTAACCTAAGTAAGTTGAAGCCTGATGAAACCCTAATACGAATGCAAAACACCAACTAGACGTTTTTTAAATTGCAATACCTGTGATACAAGCAAAATATCCATCTTCCTACCATCAAAGAAAGATTATACTTTCCAACAGGTTGTTTTGTATTCTTTTACTGGTGTAAAAAAATGATTACAGATGTCATTGAAGCATTGTTGGCGTACAATGTTATAGCCGAGTGAGCAACGATGATGCGAAACACTTGGTACTAGGTAAATATGTCAAATCGATTTATGTGAATCTTCATCAATTGAGACGGCTAAAGAATATGTTAAACATGCCCAACCATAAACTATCTCAACAAACAATACTGTTTGACGTAGAACAGGATTGGAAAAATTCTATGAGTAGGAAAATAAGGAAGCGATATCAGGGCAAGAAATGATTGATTAGCGAACCAAGACGTGTGAAAATACAGATGTTTCGGTTTTAATTCATGTAATAATCATAATAAACGACTGGAGATCTTTAAAATTTGAATTGGCTCGAAAATCGGTCATTCAGTTTTAACTTCTAAATTGTAAGCTTTAAAAGTATATCATACTTTTCATACCACGAATACATTACTTCTTTTCGAATCATACTACTTACATTACGGGAACTACCGTTAATTTCACTTTCCTGTTTATCACCTTTCGATTCCATTTTATCATGTTGGTGTGATGTAACAACCTAAGCTTATGTCCTGCTACTACTCTACGACGTCTGGACAGAACTCGTTCAAATTGCACAAAACTTTAGCATATTATGTAAACAAGTAATATGGTAATCAGTTTGAAGTGAAACTACTAGTTACGTATTGTAAGAAATAACTTATGAGTTTGACTGTGTATCATATCAATGTTTTTAAGTGAGTACTTAACTGTTGACACAAGAATTGATCATTTACGATAAATATTAACAACTATTATTACTCTACAGGAAAATATTTATTATTAATTATTTGTTACCATTGAAGAGCTTACCAAACAGAAGTTGGAATTTCAGTCACAAAAACTGATGTATTATTTACAATGTCTTGATAAGCTTTGTCACGTGCAGTTAGAAAATGTGGATCATTATTGAACGCATCATTGACCATACGTGAAAAACGAACGTATAAATTTAGCAAACGGGATACATATTTATCTGCATCCTAAACATGAAAGAGAAGAAACGAAATCATCAGAAAAGCGTAAAAAACAAGTTAATACGTTTGATTAAAATCATGAACCGAACTAGGTTAAACTGCCATTGAAAACCTGGAAGCACTGGACGGCCATTTTGAGCTAGTACAAGTCCTCCGAACAATGAGCATCCACGTGGGAATCAAACCCAGGATCTTTGATCTCACGCAATGATCCAACTTAGATAGGCTTACGATTTTAATTAAATTCAACAATCTCCACAACACTATATGATGTGACTATAATTTATGGAAGACCTTTCAGTGACGCTAAACTGACCTTGTGAGTGTCCACCTAATAACCAAGACCAAATGAGCGTTATGAACCAGCGTGAGGAATTAAAATTATGATTTACAGTTGATGATTAAGGTTAAAAATTAGATTCAGAGTTTTCATCACGAAATGACATCAGTTATAATGTCAAAACTATATTTAGACAAATGGATGGATGAATTTCGCGCCAAAATCTGAAACTGTTATCTTATACGTGATTGGTTCGTTCATAAATTATAGTCTCGCCCCCTACACATAAAATTTGTAGAAATAAACCGTACTTTTAGTCAGAAACTCAGTTTACAGAATACCAGTATTTAAAATTGGAAAATAAACAAAGAATATCGGACCAAAATAAGGCATGCTAGTAAACTAGACAAAGTTGCGTTCCAGAAAAATGTGGGTATACCGAATAAACTACTCATGTAGAGCTAGTTACGTAGACCGTACTCATGAAGATATGCCGGTATAGTTAGAGGGGTGTCAAAAATCTATTCGCAACGCCACGCTTTCAGAAATGACAGATAGTGAACGTTATAATAAGATAGATGAAACTTCATCTGTTCTGTATTGTTAGGAATATCACTTCTCTATACTAACCGCACATCAGGATAAACTCTAAAGATCTAATATATCCAAAAGAAGTGTGTTAACTCTCTGTGTTTACTTTTGTCAACAGCCGGATTATCAAATACCTAAATTGGACACTGTAAGGCCCTTTTACCCACGTTTATATTTGCTCTCTTTCATCCTTAGTTTACACATCTATCTTTCCCAATTCGAAAAGGTTTTTAATCATACTTACCCTGGAAACACCCCGCTTATTATAAAGTATAATCACACGACCTTATCGTCATTATTATTTACATTAATCAGAACAAATCCACCTATGATACACTTTATTTGCATGATTGATTTTATAAGTATATTGATTATAACTTGACACCTTACGATGTATCGTCCTAATCTTTTGTGAACGAACTTTCACCTTTTTTAAAATATAACATTATTTAGTTCAATGATGTATGCCATATTTTGACCTTTCTAATACAACAACACAATAATTATGAACTAAGTGAACCTGATGAAGCTACAGAAAGCAAACATTAGCCTCAATATTCTTTATTTTTGAGTATATTCTATGAAGATGTCTGAACTGTTGAAAAATAACAAACTAAATATCACATTTAATAATCTTGATGTAAGTTTTACCATATGATCTTACTCATATTTCGAAACATTTGAAGGGATTTCTCCGTCGGGCTTATATTTTATGTAAAGATACTGAGTGCTTTTAGCACTCACCAACTCGACACGTACCTTCACTACTTATGGATCCTCTATATATAAATTAGTATCCTCTACTGTTTTCGACTATTCTTTCTTGAACTTTTAAGGAAGAAACTTCATTATGTTGAAGAGTGTTGAAGGTAATTAGTAAAGTGTGTGTACAATGAATCTATTGATGTCATTATTATGCATATGATTGTAGACAGACATTTTCAAATCATGCAAACAACTGACAAGTGTTATTTTATCTGATTAAAATTAACCACTTCATCTAAATTTCTCTGTCTAGATATATTCTGGTAGAATGAAACATATGTACACTATAATTCGTATACACAAAAGTAGATACTAATATTTCTGCTATACCGTGTATACCACAGTTAATATACAAAAAACATGTTATGTTATAGCTTAATTTAACCAAGAACCTATACTCTTGAATATGTCAACCATTCACTATTGTGAAGAGTCTGTTACACACATCTTCACTAAAGCTATTTTCATTTTCAGATAAGCCAAACGGTTTTCCTACATAGTTGAGCGGAGGTTAAACAACAGTTGTAACTACTCCCATGATTTATAATCACTAGTCTCCTTATGAAACGTGAAATTCATGATGAATTCACTTTGAGTGATTGAACGAACAACAAATAAGTTCGTGTAGTAGTTAATATGTCATAAATATTGTGCACGTAAGAAATAATACTGCTTTCATGAAACACAAATTGAATTTTAACTGGAAATTGACCTCAGAAAGATCTAGTCATTTGGCAACGATAAACAAAACTGTGTAACTTGATTAAGAATATTAATTGGTTATTCGAACTCCGTTTCAACAATTCCCGTCTAGTTTGAATCATTAGTTCACAAACTAGACGCACAAACCAATGACCTACAATCTGATTATTATTTGTATGGATTAATTTTTTCTTGTTGTTGATGATAAAGACCACAAATAATCAGTCGCTAGATATATAAGTACATCCTAGGCAAATTGAGCCGGTATTGTCATTTATCCATCAGCAAAAGAGGTGTCAAACTGATGAATTGCATTGATCAAACTTGCTTACTACAATACATATCAGAGTTTCGCATGCTGTCACCTAGTATTCACATCGAATGGTACTTATTACAGTTACACTTATTTAACATGGACATGAACACAGATGTAGTAACATTCAGTTGACGAGCCCAAAATAGGACGAGACGCGCTTCTTGGATTCTAAAATTGACCATACAACAAATATGTCACAACGATAGTTAAGAGTATTTGAATAAAAAACCGACCTGATGTTAGATCACTATATATGCAAACAAAAAAGCAATACTTCATTAAATTTGTAAATAAAAAAGTGTTGGTTAGAGTAGTTAACTGATACAGTTTGGATTTTATTGATTATGAAGACACAAAAAAGGACATTTGATTAAGAAAATCTGAACTACAAAAGATGTTCAAAATCCAATAATTAAAATCCAAGTCAAGAAAAATGTAGCAAGGAGAAACTATTTTCAAGAGGTATTACACAGTCTTCAGTCTGACTTAGATAATATACACATTATTACAGATTGACACGTCTCGCTACGCAACTAAGGAAAACCAAAGAAACTCTAGTGGAGATTGTAATGAAAATAAATATAAAAATCCACATAAAAACAATACGTAGGTAAACAAACTACCTGGTAACAGGGAAATTTCTCAGTTGAAATACACATATATACTACAGAATTTAAATGAAAAAGAAGTGTATTATAGCATTAGAAGTTAACTAACTTTGAGCATAATCTCTGCATTAGTGCGTATATCCTTCAAGCCTGTTTGTCGAATATATTCCTCCAGAAGTACTAATAAGCGGTCAATTTCTTGTGGAACTCGATTAACTAATTCATAGCACAATCTTAGCTGGTTTGTATCTTCTTCATGCAATAGTCTTGGAACTTCTGAGAGTATATGGTCCTAAATGGTTTCAATGTATAATAATGTGATGTGAAAATATACACTACTTTAAATTAATAAGTAGTCGGAACACATATTGCTGAAACAAGGTATGTGGATTCATTAGAATTTCTAAAACGTCATTTACCGTTCACCAGGTTACGAAAAAAACCGATATTAACTGACAAATTTCCGCACCATTTTTCGACGGATCTAACTACCTTTTACGAGAGGTCTTTATACATTGTCTGTTACTGTAACAGGAATCGAACTGATGGAAACTGTTTACTAAGACACTTATCAGAGAATTTCTTGTATTATGACCTAGTATTTATATCGAATGTTAGTTATCACCCCTATCTACTAACCATGCTCATATTCAAATTCGTCATGAATACACACTTGATGGTAAGGTAATCATTGCCTAATTTCATACAGTCCTCCATACACTGGCTGACAAAGTTTCGCGTATATGAAGTTTTTTCCAATCCCCCTACGAAATATGATATCTGAAAATAAATCTGAGCCACTGACAAGATGAAGTGCAACGATTAAAGTTGCTGAATTAGATTATATATATATATATATATATATATATATATATATATATATATATATATATATATATATATATATATATATATATATATAACGATAAAGATATATATATCCTTACGCCTGTTACCCCTCATAGAAGAGCATAGTACACTCAATAGCATTCTCCATCCAACTCTGTCCTGGATAACCCTTTCCAGTTGCCATTCATCCTTTTTATGTGGTCCCCCAAATGCCTTGGAACGGCCGGGGGTGGGAAGAGTCAGCTCTTCCTCTCCAAATGCTCTCACATGACCATGTGTATACAACCAACGCCAGGTAAGTCCTACTCACTGACTTCTCGTGGTGACTGCGTTGTTTACGAAATTGAGAGGACGAAAAGCGAATTTACGGCGCTTTAATCGGGTTGGCGGACACGAAGGATCCACCTAGGAGAGTTAGAGAACTCTGATTCGAAACCAATGGTGCATATGGGCTACAGGTTCCTGAATGAAAAAATGGAGCACAAACCAATTATCGGTCACCTTCTACCATAGGACTGCATATCCTGAGGTTGCTCCATTGCCTTGTAGACTAGACCTCTAGGTCGAAGGCTTCGGGTGTGGCCCCTAAAAAAACCATCTGCTTCGGTGCACCGTGTTCTTTGGCCTTCATCTTTTCCGTTTCCATTCAGAATTCCAAGTAAGCGCTTGTCTCATGATGCAGTCCGATGATTTTCGAAATGTATGTTTCATCCAGTCCCAACATCTTTTCTTAATTTCCTCTTCAGTTGGAAGCTGAATTAATCTCTCCAACAGTAGTCTGATACTGATGGTGTCCGAACAACACACATTCAGTATCTTGCGTAGACAATTATTTATAAATACTTGTACAATTTTGAAGACGGTTGTGGTAATTTTTCCACGTTTCAGCTCCTTACAGTAGATCTGTCTTGACGTTCGTGCTCAAGATTGAGACTTTGATACTGGTTGGCAGCTGTTTCGAGTTCTATATGTTCTTCAACTGTAGGAATACTGTCCTTGCTATGCCAATCCTCGCCTTTACGTCTGCATCAAATCCTCCACGTTCATCGATGATGCTGTCCACCTACATGAAAGATTCTATATATTACGCAGGTTCTCCATCAAGTGTGATTGGGTTGGTATTCTCTGTGAAGAATTTGAGGCTCCTGCTTCTTCCTTTGAGTATGTTGAGGCCTACTGATGCAGAGGCTGCTGCTACATTGTTTGTCTTGACCATCATTTGTTGATGTGTATGGGATAGAAGAGCTAGGTCATCTACGAAGTCCAAATCGTGTAGTTGCATCCAATCTGTTCATTTTATTCCATGCTTCTCATTGGATGTAGAGATCATCGAAATCCAGTCAACCACTAGAAGAAATAAAAAGGCGGAGAGTAAGTAGCCCTATCTTATTCTGATCTTCACTTGGAATGCATCTGTCATCTATCCTGCATACACCACTTCCCAGGGTTGTCCGACGTATGGATTCTGTATGATGTTGACGATTTTCTCAACTACTCACACCATAGTGTCGAAGAAGTTTCCATAATGTTCTCCCATACACACTGTCAAACACCTTCTCATAGTCAAGGAAGTTGATGTATAGTGACGAGTTCCATTCAACCGAATGTTCAACAATGATCCATAGTGTCGCGATTCAGTCCGTGCACAATCGATCCTTACGGAATCCAGCTTGTTGATCTTGAAGTTGGGCGCCTACTGAGTCTTTCATCCGGTTCAGCGACACTCTGTTGAAAACACTTCCTGGTACTGACAGTGGTGTGATGCCTCTGTAGTTCTCACATTTGCTCAGATCTCCTTTCTTTGGCATCTTGATGAGGTGTCCTTCATTACAGTTCGTCAGTGGCACTTGTTCTTCCTCGCAAATATTCCTCAATAGAACGTGGAGCATCTTTGTAGCTACTTACACATTTGACTTCAGTGCTTCAGCTGGTATGTTGTCAGGTCATGTTGCTTTCCCACTCTTGATTTGTCTGATGACCACCCTAATTTCTTCGATCGTTGGTGGAGTGACATCTATAGGAAGGTCTGTAGGTGCTGCTTCGATGTGAGGCAGATTCAACAGAGCTGGCCAATTCAAGAGTTCCTCGAAGTATTCCACCCATCTGTTCCTCTGATCTTGCATCTCGTTGACTAGCTTGCCTTCTTCGTCCTTAAACGGTCTCTCTGGTTTACTACATTTCCCTGACAGTTTCTTCGTCGTGTCATATAGTTGTTTCATATTTCCTTCTCTTGCAGCTTTTTCCGCTGTCGTTGATAGGTCTTCCATGTATTTTGCTTGTCGGCTCGAATGCTCATCTGCACCTGCTTGTTTGCTTCTGTGTGTTCAAATTGTGCCTCGACTTCTTCTGTTCTTGTTCAGCTGTTGTTAATTACTGTCTTCAAGTTCTTCATTTCTTGGATCTTGTCCAGGATTTCCATAGAGATCAATTCCTTATAATGATGCCTCTTGCGGTCCAGGACCTCCGGACACGTTGAAGTCAGTGCCTCTTTGATCGCTTTCCATTTGTCCTCCGTAGTAGTTTCTTCTTCCAGTAGATCCGGTGAGGCTTTTAATTTGTTGTTGAGAGTTACATTGAATTCGTTGAATTTGTCAGTATGTCGGAGTGTTGTATTGAACCTTTTGTAATGCTGTTTGTCCAGTTGTCTAATGCTTTTTTAGCTTCAGTTTCACCTTGGCCACAACCAGGCGGTGATCTGAAGCTATGTCGGCTCCTCTCCTAGTTCTCACGTCTTTCATTGACCTGAATTATTAAGCAATGCAGATATGATCGATCTAATAATCTATAGTGTGGGGCCCATGTAGCTTTGTGTATGCGTTCGTGGGGGAATGTTTTGGCGCTTATAACAAATTTATTGAATGCACATAAAATTACGAATCGGTCGCCATTCTCGTTCCTTTCTTCTGGTCTATGTAGTCCCATGATATCTTCATACCCGGTGTTGAACATTCCGACTTTGACATTGAATTATATATTTTTACCATGGACTCTCTAATCTCACTCACTTTTTTAGTTGTTTTTTTCATTAAGCTTTTACACTACAATTTATATCCCTTTCTACACATTGAATAATATACTTTTTCGATATGCTCATTTATTATGCAAAATTATCATCTGTTTCGATTTATCTATTCCATGAGAAACGATTGGTGTTTAGTTAAACAATCGCTTTTGATAAAAATTAATTCATACTATAGTTTTAATACTAAAAAACGAAAAACCAGCAACTTTTCAAATCTAGTAAGTCTAATGTAAGCAAGGTGTGTGAAAGTATAAGTTAGGCAACAACAAAAAGGGTGATATTTCTATATTACATAAATTTGTATGTAACCAATGGAGAATGATACGGAAATTTGCAGAGAATAGTCTATACAGTCAGCAAGTGAATAGAACTTTCTAAGACAATCCATAACGGTGAATTATCGAACCAGTAATCTACTAATTGTAAAAATAAACTGTCTATAACATATGAATGGTAACAGGTGATTTGAATGGACTATGATGGAAAGCAGAGAGTATATAAATGATTTAAACGATATATATGTACATATTGCTTGTGGTCATTTATCTCAGTATAAAATACTGATGAGAAAAATACATATCAATGTAGAAAATCGGCGAAAAACTTACCATATAGTCGACTACAAATGTCTTGAGGCATACTTTCATTAACTTAGGGACGGAATTGAATTCTGGCTGAGTTTCTAAATATCTTACAGCTCGAGTCTCTTCTTCAGCTAATTTCTGCAAAGCGTATTGCATGTAACTCTGTATTTTTTAATAAACAATATATATTAATCATAAGGAAACAAGATAATTTGAAAGTATTGACGGGGGATGATGCATATAATTTATACGATAATGTACAAATATATCTCCTACTGATCCCGTGTGAACTTTTCAAACACGATTCGAAATTGCATGGAAGAAATAAGCTAGGAATTATGAGAAGCATTTGAAAACAAACTAGATTCACTTTTGTATTGTTTGTTTGAGTCTTCGTATTGATGTTTGGGGTTGCAGTTGATCATTCTATTGGTATATGTGCATCCTGTGGGGATTGCTTCGATATTGGCCGAAGTTATAAGCATGATAAGCAGAGTTGGATGGTGGAGTGAACATCAACTGCGGGATGCAGGTATATCCAGCTGACGAGTCCCAAATAGGACGAAAGGCACGTTTTGGATCCCACTGCTAGCCACCATCCATCTCCGCTGAGAAAAATAAATTCACATTTATCAAGGATTAAATGTTAGCAACCTCTAATACTTTCCTAACCTGTGAAGAGCAATTTTTAGAAGGTATTACAATCTATAATTGTTTATTGAGTTTGCCAGTGGATAATAAGTAAATTTTCTGCTCATATTGTTGCTGATGTTGGTAAATAACAAAGATTATAGTAGGGACATTACTATTTTATTGTAACGAATTTGTTACTTTAATTCATAAAGTGAATCTGTTTGAGCATATTGTTGATAAACCCTATCTGAGGCAACAAGAATATAAGACGATTTTGAAGATTGTAGAATTTTTACAGTTTAATCCAGTAAGCATTATATGGCTGCTTCGTCCTAATATGAGGCTTCTCAGTAGTGGTCATTTACAAACCCATCACTGGGGATCGAAACGGGGTTCCTTGGTATTGTGTAAAAATGCTTAACCTCTAGACAACTGAGCCAACATCCAATGGTGTATATGTCTAACTTTGACCGATTCATGACACTGCGTGAACATCTTACACCGCCTGTGGTGGATAACTGTCTCATATTTGACATATTCGAAGTCCACTGGTCACAACTACTCATTTGAACTCCAAGAAGTCCATCTTAAAGTTAATCACTAGTGATCACTTGGTATTGCAAAAATACTTATCATAATTACTATATATCCGACATTCAAACATAAAGACTATCTATAAAAAGGGTTTCAAACACTAAAGTATGTGTTCAGTTTGGGGTTGTGGAGATTGTTGAATTTCATTAAGACGACGAGCCGAACAATGTCAAGCCACCATTAGAAGCGCAATGGAAGATGGATTGATTGAAGTTACACATCAACACCGTTGGGTGCCAGTCCAATGGTCTAGATGTTAGACGTTCGCGTGAGACCAAAGGTCCTTCTCTGTTCGGAATCGTTGACGTGAACTCCTAAGTCCCATACTAAAACGAAACGGCCGTTCAGTGCTTTCATGTTTTTAATGGTGGTCTAACATTGATCGGTTCATGATTTCAATGAAATAAAGTATGTTATTCAAAGGCTCTCCTTAAAATGTAAAGCTACAATTTTACGTAGAAAAATACTTGAAAAATTTAGTGATAAAATGTAAAAAGAACTTATTTATTTCTGTTATCAATGGCAGAGATACTGTTGTGGGTAAATTAGTTTTAGTTAAAAATGCATTGAATGAGAATGACTATTGACTCTCTTACTAATTATTTAATATAAACCATTTACGAATTAGTCAGCTATATGCAGCATACTGACTGGGATACTTGTTCTTTGAGATCCCACCACACCAGCAGTAAAATAAGGTCCGAGGTCGAATTCTTAGAACATCACATCTCATCTTACCCTTGGACTCTGGGGTCAAGCTCTCAGGTCTTCATGACCATTCCCTAACCCAGTTTCCTTTTCAGGCCTCTCAACAAGAAATATCTTTCCACGATGTGGGCAACAGAAAAACGACGACCGCCATTGTACCTCTAACAGCACCTGAGATCCTCATATTGACGATAAAATTCCTCTTTTACTTATTAAAATCGCTCCTGTCCCCACGACCAACCCTTCTCTTATGACTGTATCGCCATACGCAACCAAATTCAGTCTACAAGGTAGGCGATGTTGACAGATAAATTTCGAGTAATAATCCACTGCATTCAAATATCCATTCATTCACAGTAACTTCTATACGCTAAAGTGAATTCATCTTAACTTTTAAATAGATATTAATATTTCAGACAGTGTAAGACTAATATATCATTTTTATCTTCCTAACAAATCACAAATAACGGTGACATTCCATACATATACCATATGTACTCATGTTCTTGTTAATTTTATTACATACAAGTATTTTATGTATGATTTGAGCGTGTCTGTTCGTTGTTTATTTCATTAATTGCATTATTAAGTCATATACAAGCCCATTAAAAGAGCCACATTCTATATTTGGTGTGACATTAACCGTATAGCTTCATCTGGCTGATTTACAAATTACGGTATACACGATGATAAGAATGTATAAAATATATTCTTTCAGTATAATTCATATTTGGTTTTTTACATTACTGCTGAAAAATAATCTTTATTGAGGTACTGTATACGAAATTAAATGAGTGGAAAGAATAACATTTGTACGGAGTCAGTTGAAGGCTACAAGTTCATAGACTTTTGTAGACCCCAATAGCCGGTATATTTTTTTAAATGAAAAATATGTAGTCAAAAATCTTAATCTTCAATAATTAATATAACTTCGACAACTCATCCGCTAATCAAAACTGAACTTTTAAGATCATCTTTAAAGTTGATCATTTAACTATTGTTGTATGAAAATGACATTAAAAGCAAATTGATTATTTTAAAAATTTTTAAAAAATTACTCCCTTTGATAAATTTCAGTAATCCAATGTGAAGACGAAGATTATCAGAATTATGTGATATATTTACGCAATACATTTCAAACAATCTTATCACGCATAGATTTGTTAAGAACATTTATGTACGAAGACACAAAAAGGTCATCTACACAAATTAAAAGGTAAGTGGAAACAAAGATAGTAACAATAAAATACAAAAAAACAATGTGAAAATTACGCTGGATAATAAATCAGTATTACCAAAGTTAAGGGTAAGAATATCTTCCTCCATTGCGAAACATTTGGTTGAGACAGGTGGATATTAAGTCAACCTTTGCAGTTTGTACAACAGCGTTCAAGAACGCGCACTAAGGTTTATTGAAGCCTTGACTATAAGGGAATTGAAACCCCTTTTATGTGCTCAAAAACGATTTCCTCTTACTCTAGTAATACTGATTTATTATGTAGTGTGGTTCTTCACATTGTTTTTGTGTATTTTATTGTTATTATTTTTGTTCCCACCGTTTACCACGACGCGCAATGCTGACTATTGTTGGAGACGGCTAGAAGAAATTTAGAGACGGCCAAACCAAAACGTGGCATCAGTCATTGAAGTCACTGACTTCTGGTTTGAGCCATGTTGGTAGACGCAGACTACTTGGTTGGAGTTCGAGTGACTATCGCAACCAATGGTTGGAGACTCTGGGTGACATGGCTCAGAATCGATCACAATGACGTCGGTGTATACACTCTTTGTTTTCCCTTAAAATATGAGATTAAAATTGCTCTATATCTTTCTTTCTACGAACCATTCTTTCTTCCTGTACTATATCCTTATATGCAATATTTCTTTTGTACATCACTACCATTGAAGTGACTACTTCTATGAATTTGGTGTTCATCTTTTTGTGCTAATGAGGTGTGGTAACTTGGGCCGATGCATATATGTGCCTGGTCAGACTTGTTTCTGCCTACCTTTTAATTTGTGTCAGTCAGTAACAACGTAGAACTTCGCACGTACATACATCAGTCCGAGTTGCCACACCACATTAGCACAGAGATGCAGTGGTCGATTCAAATCCCGTAGTGGTAGAGGTAATAAGAGTATAAGCAGTAATCAGGAAAATTAGTGTTTGGAGATGTTATTTAAAGAGTATAATACAGTTAAATAAATTTGGGAAGAGAAAAAAAGAGACGAGGAATAAAGAGTTCAAAATTTGGGAGAACACAAAGAGTGGATGCACCTGCGCTATTGCAAACGATTTTGAGCCATGTCATTCAGGGTCTCTAACCATCGGTTGCTATCATCTCGCGGTCCCCAACCAGTCTACACCTACCAACATGACTCAGTCCACTTGTCAGTGACTTCATGGACTTGTGCCATGCTTTGGTCTGGCCGCCCCTAGCTTTCTTCCAACCTGCTCCTATACCACTGAACGTCGCACGTGTGTGTAGTTGACCTTTTATGTTTTCATACATAAAATATCTTATCACGTATATGTGTGGTCAGACTGTTTGCAATGTATTACGCAATTATGTCACATAATTCTGATCATCTTTGTCCTCTCATTGAATTATCGAAATAAAAAAATGGTTAAATAATTCATTCAATAAAATATATTTACAAAAACTATTATTAATTAATTCCTGAGTAACCAAACGATCATATGATTTCCATAATTTGAACAATTTCATAAATTGCAAAATGAATTAACTATTGACTAGTATGATTTATTAGAAGTTGATATTCAAAAGGAAATAAGATATTTTGTATGGTATTTGGTGTTATAAAAGTTTGAAGGCTTAAAATTTCGGTTAGATTTGTATAGTTTAACTATAAGAAAGGCTAATAGTTAACAGTTAACCAGTGGAAAAAATAAATGTTTTTCTTATCATCAATTGAGTCAATTTTTCGATGGAAGATGATGGACTAGCCTCGTTCTTTTGAACAGTGGATACATCAAGTTACTAAGAAATTTTATAGTGCAAATTTAAAGTACGATCTTGTGTTCTTTGATGTAAGGGTTGTGTTGGAGATCACTGTAGTGACCTTGAGGTGGAGCCGCTGAGAGGAAGTAAACTGGATTATGAAGTATATTACACTCTACAACACGACCACTCCCTTAGTCTATCCATGACTAACAAAATCCTGAAATCCATACGAAAATCTAATTGGGTTGTTACATACTTGTGTTAACCGTCACGCAACCAAATTAACTTCTTATCTATCAGAAGGACAGTATATTGTTCAATAGTTTACTCTGTATAGTTTTACGACCGGGAGATATGACCTCTTAAGGTAGACGACATTTGTATGTCACTAAAAAATAAATCAACTCATTCATCAAGTATTCGGAAGCAAGTCATAATCTAAGTGTGAGGACTATTAGTACTACCTGATTGCCCAAGCCGAAGTAGGTGAGTGAGGCTGGGTTTTAACCCAGGACTTAGTGGCCGAAAGATGAACAACTTAACCGCGAAGCCACCACTCTAATGTACTTCACTAGTAACTGATCGCATATCTCCTCAAAGTAGTGCTCGTATAAGGTGGAATAGTCAAGTAAGAAATAGTGAAGTTAGACATTGACTGAGGTAATTGGAGAATGAGTTACGGATCCCCACCCAACACCGGTTTGTGTAGGGACGCGTTGGAAGTAAATTGGAGATGGCCAAAGTATAATGCAGCATCAGTCTATGAATTCATTTACTTTTGGCTGAATAAGGTGGATGGGCGCATACTACGTGTACGGAATCCGCGCAGTAACAGATGGTGATCGGCGGTCGAAATTATGTGACATGGTTCAAAATCGAATAGTGGTTAAGAAGATTCAATAAGGAATTGATTCTCCAAACTCGAATAAATGACTGGAACAGATATAGTTGATTCATTACTCATATCGAAATCGACTAATTTGAAGATACGAACTGATCATGTCAATGTACGTCAAGTTCGATCTAAACTATAATTAGATAGTTAAGGCTTATATCTCACAGCCTCGCTTTGTCTTCGAGAGTTTTAATACTGATTATAAAATGTATATTATCACTATTTTTTCACTTTTGCACTTACTCTTATTCCATGTTTCTGAATGTATTCATCTATACGTATACGATAAAAACTCTCTGTGCTCTCAATATATGCTTTTTCGAAATTATCCACATATATTCGAAAGGATTTTTCTGATAACGTAGATAAATTGACTAAAATAGGTAAAACAACAAAATACATATGATTTTCAAGCAAACTGAACAATAAAAATAAGTGATATGGATTAAAAACAAACTGGTGATTAAATTAGTAGGAAACGAATGTGAAGGACAGAGATAACACATTTAATTTGCAATACTTAAGCATCGTAAAGAAGAGAACAGCAAATGTGGTATACATGGTTCCTAACAATTTCTGAACAGAGGAGAAAAAAATAAAACCACTGTCTAGAATTACAAACATAAGTAATCACTAAAGTATGAGACTTTACAATATTCCAAGACTATATAAACTGAAAACATCATATACATATTAGCCAACAAATATTTTTAAAAAAGTATTTTATTTGATAAAAATTATAACTGTAAGAGTCTAGAGCTGATTCGATCAAATATACAAGCAATTTTAATACTGTGAATACGAAGACTTTTCAATCAAATGACTAACTTCATGCGTATCTTCTACAATGTATGTTTCTCAGCGTAACTCTACACGTGATCTAGGGCATTTGTCGTCTAACGTGATAAACACAAATGTGTAAAGTATGAAAGAGGGAAATACAGAAGTCCTTTTGATAAGACCAATGTCGCTTATCCATTCGCAAAAAGAATCAGTTGTCTTGCAGCCATAACCAAAGTAAATGCCAATAGCAGCATATCAACAATTAGTGTCAAGGCATAACACAGACAAATTCGCTCTTTAGCCTTCCCATGACATTGAGCTTCAGTATCCCTTCATACACACCCTTCCAATTTGTAATTCTGATCTATATTTTCGATGTTCAGTTATTTACTTTATTATTACTGCCATAATATTTTGATCTCTTGCTATTAATCTCGTTATGCTAAAGTAGTATGTTAACAAACAAACCGATGACTTTGACAGCCTCTACATAGTTGATATTTTAACTAAATCCTTCGAAACGATTGGAGTACTTGTATATTAATAGGGCCCCCAAATGCCCTGGTATGGCCGAGAGTGGAGTGGGTCCGCCCTCCCTCTCGAAATGCTCTCACACGGCCCCACGTATACAGCCTCTGCCAGGGAAGTCCTACTCACTGCCTTCTCGTGGCGAGGGTGTTGTTTACGAAAGTGAGAGGACGAAAAGCGAATGACCGGCGCTTTAACCGGATCCCAAACCAATGGTGCACATGGGCTCCAGTATCCTGAGGGAACAAATGGCGTATGAACCAATCGTTGGTCACCACCTACCATGGGAATACATCTCCTCACGATGCTCCACTGCCTTATGGATCAAACCTTTAGGTCGAAGGCTCGGGGTGTGGCCCCCTAAGAAAACCACCTGCCTCGGTCTGGGCACCCGGGCAGTATCACAGCCCACACGCACACAAATATGGTGTGGCGCATATATATTTGGTGCCCTCTTGTACCAATATTTATGTGTTGTAATAAAAAATAAAAAAGTATTAATAAGATACTGAGAGTTTTACTGATTTTGATAAGTGACTACCCAACTATCGGCCTCAGTTACTTGAGAGACAGTTGAAAATCAAGGTTAATAAACATCGATATCTTAGTTTTTCATGTTATAATACTTTACTGTCGCCTTGTAAAACAGAAGCACTATTCACTTAACATAATGAGACAAATATAAAGATATCTCAATGGGAAAACTGTTTAACGCGAGTCAATACGTTTTCTGTGTTTACTATGCTAACAGAACTAAACGAAGAAGACGATTCGACGTAGTCCTCTTAACGACCACAGATAAATTTAGCATAACCTTTCATCCAATTTCTAAAGAGATAGTATTTCTTTGAAGGGAATGAAATTATGGTGATATGCAAAAGAGGAGATACTATAAGAGTAAAACGAACAGATTATTTACAGATAATTCTTTTTTGCCATAACGGTACATAAAATAAGAAAGGCTCTGCGTATTTGGTCTGATGGAACAAGTAACCTTGTTTTCTGAAAAGTAGTACTAGGAAGAATACCTTATCCATAATTGCCAAGTGGGTGTAGCGATTAACCAAATGATTAGTTCAACTAAAGAACTGCAATAAACAACCATACAACCCAAAACCAATTTAACATGTACACAGATGAAATGTTTGCACTTTAAAAACCAAATAAGCTTGAAGCTTTTTCAAAAATGATTGGTGATTTTGAAAAAAACAGTATACTTTGAGTCCTTATTTTAAGTGGGGTTTCACAACTGGCAACCATACAGATTTAGTCTTTATAAAATTCACGTTATACTACACGATATTTCAGTGAGACTATAATTTATGGAAGATCTTTGAGCGACGCTAAAGTGACTTTGAGAGTTTCCACCTACTAACTGAGGTCGAATGAGGGTTATAAACTAGTGAGAGATTAGGATTAATATTTACAGTTGATAGTTAGGGTTAGGAATCATATTTAGGGTTTCAATCACGAAATAGCAGCTGAAATGCCGAAACGCTATTTAGACAAATGAGTGAATAAATTTCGCGCCAAAGTCTAAGAGATGTTACCTTAAATCTCGTTGGTCTGTCCATAAATTATAGTCTCGCCGATAGTTCTACTGCATTTTATTTCTGAGGAAGGCACACATTTATGATGCGTGATCAACAAAGTGAAGCGACTTCATGTGTCAGCTTCCCCCCGAGACGTGTTAGCGGAGTACGGTCAGACTTATTAGTAAGAGAATAAATACAAAAGATTCAGGCTCAGAAATTATTAGAATTAATATACATGACGGCATACGGAGGAAGAAGAAACATGTGGTTAATACATGTCAGTCAGAAATCAGATTTTAAAAGATCTTACGATATTAATCACCAAAAAACGTTACATGGTTCAATAAAAAACAATGCAAGAAACGTGAGTTGGTAGAACACTTACCACAGGACTCACGAACACCTATGACGAGCTGTGAATCAATAACCTGACCACATCTCTCATCTTGTATAAGCTTAATAGCACTGTCCAGAAGCTTTTGCTTGATGGATTCGTAGATCGTACTGTTCCACGTTTCCAGCATCAGCTAAAATATAACTGAATTTCATACTGTAAGCTACTTTTCTAATAGTACTTTCTTGAAGATGACGTTTGTTGGGACCGTTAAGATGTTTACCAACCAGGTAGTTTTCTAATGGACTAAATGGTTGTGGAAGATATTCGCTTTGTTTAGAAAATTTATTCCATTGAGCTATGTATGATTTTAACAATGAAGATTCATCTTGATTACGCATAACAAGCTAAAGTTGAAATCCGATAAACGAGAAGTTATTACCTGCTGAACTCTCATAATCGATTCCTTAACAGTTTCTGTAAGAGAAGAAATGATGGCGGTTGTTGCTGATTCTTGCCATGAGACGATATAATGTACATCTCTAAACAATAAACATGAGGTAAAATCCTTACGCAAACATATTCTGCCACTCGTCCCTACTGACATTCTCAGTATTGAGGATGCGCTTCACAATTGTATTCACCTTTGGCCATCTCTGTTCATAACAGTCCTCATGGCACTTTGAAACGTACATGTCATCAATTTAACACTGAAGAACTCACATCAACAGATAGCATCTCAACTTTTTCGTACTACGCGCTGGAAAAATACCACATCAAGGACTAATTAATAAGATCAAACCTCAAATAGCTCGGTGGAAGAAACGACATTTACAAAACTAAAACCCTTTTCCGAATCCTCAGGTTCGTTCATATTCGACTATTACAATAACTTTCCTGTAACTAAACTATGAATCGCCTAAAAATATGTGGTATTTGTGCAGAATTGAAAATGGTTCAAATGGTTTTGAAAGGAAAAGAAGAAGCTTTCGCTCAACGGGCTTTCATGTCTAGTAGCAGTGAATCACCAATACCTCCAGGCAGGAACCTATGTATAATAATGACAAAAGGAAAAGAGATTGATCTATCGTAGTAAGTTATTATCCTTAGTCCTTAAGGATATGTCAGGTTTTCTCTTAAGAAACTCCTGGTAATTCGCCTGAACTAACTCATCTGGAAATAAATTTCAGCATTTAACTACCCTAAAGGAGTATAAAATGCGCATACTGTCCGTTCTTCAATGTTGTATCTTCACTTTCTAAGTGTTACGCCTTAGTTTTGTGTTGGGACTAATCTGAAGTAGATGTTTAAGGGGATTTCCATAACTTTTAGTATATTACAAGTCATTAAAATGTCACCTATAACAATTCCGTACTCTAGTGGGTTAAGGTTCAATGATTGGAGGCGCTTTTAATAAGGCTTGAATTTGAGTCCCCGAACTGATTTCGTGACTCGCCGCTGGATAAGTTCTAGAGTATCCTTATCCATTTGTAGTGATGAAGTAAATACTGTGTTTCCGTACTCTAAATGAGGACGAATGAAACCGTTGAAAATCATGTGGAAAGTTCTACCGTCAAAGTGGCTAAAAATTTTTGCTCTCAATGCATTTTTGTCACAGCGTAAAACTTCAAATCGTAGGGTACCAGCACTACTAAATCTTTTTCAACTTGAGACACTTCAAGAGAAGAGTCGCTTAAGTTTCAGCTGTAGTCTGCAGCATGTCTCAGATGTACTGCTTTACGCTTTTAAGTGTTAAAGGTGAGTCCCTTGTCATCCGCCCAACAATGAAGTCGAGTCTGATCCTCCTGAAGTGCCAGTATATCCTCCTGACTGCATGCCTCTCTCCAACGTTTCACATGATCAGCAAAATGTAATAAATATGACGGTACCTGTGGTGCAAGATTGTTTATATAAATCAAGAAAAGAAGGGAATCTGGTACTGAACCCTGATGGACACGAATAGAATATTCCATAATTTGGTGTATGAATTCCATATGATGTTGACGATTTTCTCAACTACTCACACCATAGTGTCGAAGAAGTTTCCATAATGTTCTCCCATACACACTGTCAAACACCTTCTCATAGTCAAGGAAGTTGATGTATAGTGACGAGTTCCATTCAACCGAATGTTCAACAATGATCCATAGTGTCGCGATTCAGTCCGTGCACAATCGATCCTTACGGAATCCAGCTTGTTGATCTTGAAGTTGGGCGCCTACTGAGTCTTTCATCCGGTTCAGCGACACTCTGTTGAAAACACTTCCTGGTACTGACAGTGGTGTGATGCCTCTGTAGTTCTCACATTTGCTCAGATCTCCTTTCTTTGGCATCTTGATGAGGTGTCCTTCATTACAGTTCGTCAGTGGCACTTGTTCTTCCTCGCAAATATTCCTCAATAGAACGTGGAGCATCTTTGTAGCTACTTACACATTTGACTTCAGTGCTTCAGCTGGTATGTTGTCAGGTCATGTTGCTTTCCCACTCTTGATTTGTCTGATGACCACCCTAATTTCTTCGATCGTTGGTGGAGTGACATCTATAGGAAGGTCTGTAGGTGCTGCTTCGATGTGAGGCAGATTCAACAGAGCTGGCCAATTCAAGAGTTCCTTGAAGTATTCCACCCATCTGTTCCTCTGATCTTGCATCTCGTTGACTAGCTTGCCTTCTTCGTCCTTAAACGGTCTCTCTGGTTTACTACATTTCCCTGACAGTTTCTTCGTCGTGTCATATAGTTGTTTCATATTTCCTTCTCTTGCAGCTTTTTCCGCTGTCGTTGATAGGTCTTCCATGTATTTTGCTTGTCGGCTCGAATGCTCATCTGCACCTGCTTGTTTGCTTCTGTGTGTTCAAATTGTGCCTCGACTTCTTCTGTTCTTGTTCAGCTGTTGTTAATTACTGTCTTCAAGTTCTTCATTTCTTGGATCTTGTCCAGGATTTCCATAGAGATCAATTCCTTATAATGATGCCTCTTGCGGTCCAGGACCTCCGGACACGTTGAAGTCAGTGCCCCTTTGATCGCTTTCCATTTGTCCTCCGTAGTAGTTTCTTCTTCCAGTAGATCCGGTGAGGCTTTTAATTTGTTGTTGAGAGTTACATTGAATTCGTTGAGTTCGTCAGTATCTCGAAGCTTTCTGATGATTTTTTTCAGGAAGGCTGTGTTCTACGGGTTGGGGTTCCTGACGCCTCACCTAAACCTCCTCTTACATCCGTGCCTGGAACTATCAATAACCCTTCAAGTACTCCAGGCGGATAGCTAAAATGGAACAAATAAACGATTATTATACATACATTTTAAACAGTGATTGTCCAAATATTAATAAGAAGCATACATATCTTTACATGTATTTCCCGAATCTAGATTCTAGTCACGAATTGTGAATCTGTACGCAATGCTTCTCTCAATCAGAGTCACGAGCCAATAAACAGAATTGAAGATGTCTGATGATATTGAAGTCGCATTCTGTTGAGAAACTCTTTATGACATCCTAATGAAACAACGAGTTTGAGTGTTTGGACGAAAATATGTAGATTTATGTGATAAGATATGAGTATGCAGGACTCTATTGCCTGTTGGACTTCATAGCCTGTATTCAGTATTGTACCTCACGCGAAATGCGAAGCTGAAATGGCCTTAATAAACGAAAGTTATTAACTATGGGATGAGTATGGTGATTAGAAGTATTCAAATTAGTGTAATTACTAGGAATGCCTGAAACAGTGCAATTTATGCGAGACAAAAGTAGACGAGCACGAAAGAACGAATTGTATATGAAATTCGTAATCAATCGGGAATCAAGCACAAAGAAATCATAAGTTCGTACAAATACCACAATGAGTTGTGGCCTTTAACATTGGTTTTACTTATGGTATTTTAGTATGCTGACTAGAAACTACGAGGTTTTAAGATCCTTCTTGAAAGATTTTTAACATTGTGCATGAAAATTCTTCCACGTCAACTCGTTCGTTGTGTAGTTTATTGCTTTACCTTTAAACTTGAAGCTATTTTCCTGATCTATTCCAGGTAGTTCTTTATTCTAAATAAGACGGTCATCGTTATTTGTTGTACTTTTGTTTCTCTGGGTAGTCAAATGCTGGAATTCACTGCTGTTGAGGTAGTGCAAGAGAGATCCTAAGAGTTCTATTTGGAGAAAACTTCACATATTCTTAAGCTCTAAGGACATTATTTCAATACTATTTACTAGTTCTTTTTCTTATTGCTCTTTTATCGTCAATATACAATGGTTCCTACTTGGGGGCATCGGTTATCCACCGCTACTAGATACGGAAGCTCGTCAAACGAAAGCTTCTTTTATTCTCTGCAGAAACATGTGAACCATTCACATGTTCACGCAGACCGCCCTTTGGGGCTATAAACACACAGAAGTAAAAAATATTCGCAAGTTCAGACGCCATTGGGAAGCGGTTCGTGCCTAGCTAGAGGGTACGTCGTGCATTTAGTAAGCATGCAGAGTAGCGTGAGTTAGGAGAGCTGGAAAAGAGAAAAATGAGCGAAATTATGGGTCAATGACAAAGAAAGCACACACGATACAAGAAGCGACTAGGTACTCCCCGAACTCCGAATCATCCTTACCACATCATATATTAACCTATTATGAGGATGACGTCACGAACCTCGATTACACGCCACCCCTAGGTAAATGTAGTCATGCAGTTCTAACCCTTGACTTCCATATAATCATCAAAAACGAGCACGCGTCAGCTTAATCCAAACCTAACGTCTGGAAAGCAAATGCACAAGATATTTTACACTCAGTAGATCAGACAGTGGAGCCAGAGTCCCCAAGTGAAACAACTTGGGATGTTTTCCGAAACGTATACATAAAAGTTACTGTACAGCACATCACTTGAACTACACCAAGCGGACAGAAAAACTTTCCACCATAGTTCAGTAGTGAGGTTCGCAACCTTCTCCGAAACAGAAGAAAAATATAGGATAGATTTGAATTACTGGGGACTGAAGAGATAAAATCTCAGTATCAAGAACATCAGAATACCTGAACGTCGACCCTCCCTAAATCTAGAAGTTTGTACGAAGAGAAAATTGTCAAGGAACCCGTAGAATATCTTATATAAACCAAAGGACAAAAAGAACTGAATATAATATTATAGTACTATGGGGAGACAGTACTGCTTCATCTTTAGTGGAGGACGACTATGGTAAAGCTCAAGCATTCTAAAACTACTTTAGCACTGTATATACCGTAGAAACGCTCTTCTCGTCAGGGAATACACATCCCCTAACACAGTGGACATCATGAACATTAAAGTACTCGATGTCTTTGGTCTGCTAAATAAGCCTGACATAAGCAAATTCGCGGGACCCGACGAACTTGATCCTAGGTTTTGTTGAGAACCTTTTAAATATATGCTTTAATCTATCAGTGACCCAGGCTCGTTTACCAAATGACTAGAAGAGCTCCACAGTAATTCCTGTCTTCAAAACGGGTACGAAACATAAACGTGAGACCTGCCGACCCCTTGGCTTAACTAGCGTGGTTTTAAAATTTTGGAAAAGATTATTTGGAAGGAGCGGTTTAATTATATCGACAGAAACCGGATCTTTTCGGAGAAGCAGTATGGTTTTAAAATAGGTTATTCCTGTCTCACAAACTTATTAGTGACTTGTATTGTGGCGTCGAGTCGCGGTTGATTATGTTCACCACTACAGGAAGACTACGTGTCAGTTAATTGATAAGACTCTCCGTAGGCCAAATATTAGAAGGCAGTTGATGGCTGTAATCGAGATGTATTTGTTGGCGATCGCGTGGTATGGAAAGAATACCGAGATCGTGCCAGGTTGCAAGTGGGGTTACTGAGCGTAACCGAATTCGTGCAATGTCATAACCAACGGGAGAATGTATGTAGTTTGTTACAGTTTAACAAACAAGTACGGTAAAATACTCCCTGGTACAATTGGTTAGAATAATAATTGTTTCCATTACACCAACCGCGTTCACTTGATAAAAGCAGGTCACTGCAGATTCATGAAAGTTGGTGCGCTCTTAAAGATAAAAAAGTGACCTACAGACGTAACTTATATTGACTTCAGCAAAGGTTTGACAAATTTCTCACAACTGGATGTTATATAAGTTAAGAAATTTCGGAGACAATCTATTGATATGGATAAAAGATTTCCTAATTGTGCGCAAACGAAGAGTACGGGTTAACTCCAAGTTGTCTAGCTGCGTAACTGTGCTTGGCGAAGTGCATCAGGGCACAGCTTTTAGGCCAGAGTTATTCCTCCCATATGTAAATGACCCTCCTCGTTTCCTATCATCGTCGGTCTTGCTATATGCTGACGATGTCAAGATATGGAGAGCGATAGGACATAAGATTGATAGTTTAGAGCTTGAAGATGACCTGGAGAAGTTATATGAGTGGTCTAAAACTTGGCAGTTGCAGATAAACACTCCCAAGTGTATTGTGATGCATATTGATCATCGATGTACAGATACATACATGAATAACACTGAGCTACTTGTTGTCCAGTCACACAATGACTTGGTCATCGTTAGCCAAGACTTATAGACTACTGCACACTGCCGTGCAAAAGCTGTCAAAGGCTTAAGAACCCTATGGTAAATATGTAGGGCCTTTAGTCATGTCAACGCTTAAACGTTTTTTGACTATGTATACAGTCTTCATGAGTCCTAAACTTGAGTAATGTGAACAAGCGCCTAGCCCCTGCTTAAAATTTAGAGGTGACTTGATTACAGTTTTCAAGTTACTTGGTGATAAATTTGCACCTGATATTCCCCCCATTTTTCTTGTTTTACGAAACAGAGAATTTACGAGGACACCGAAAAATTTCACGAGCCCAGAACAAATTGCTTGTCATCTGATTATCGACTTTCCCATCGGACCATCAACAAGTGGAATTCATTACCTCAGTACGTGGTTGAGGTTCCATCCATCGACACTTCCAAAAGGAAGTTGGATCAACTGAGAGACCATCATTGCTAGGACTGACGTAGGCCATCAAGGCTCTTGTCCTTTCCGAGCTGAAACTGATTTCAAAAACGCGCGCTAAAATAAAACCAAGGTAATGTGACATAATAATCCTTAGTAAACGAGATCAATCTCTCCTAATTTTGATATCAGGGATTCAACGGTTTGCTATAAGTACATTGTTCTCGCTACTTTTGGCCTGGCGCCGTATAATTTTGTGGGATACAATTCAAGATGGAGGGACGTCCAATTTCGGATCTTAAGGTTGCCGAGCTTCGCAAGGAGTTGGAGAAGCGCAACAAAGATAAAACCGGTGTTAAACAGGTTTTGCTGGATCGTCTCAAAGAGGTTTTTTCGTCTAAGCAACCTAGAGTTTTAGACTTTAGAAAAGGATGGTCACGATCCTCAAACCTATCGTTTCAGAGATGATGATAGTGTTAAAACTGACCTAGAGATATCGGATCATTCGGTATGTGATCACTTTATTCAAACTTATTCTTTTATAGCCTGTAAATGGTGATGGACTAGGAGCTGGTAAGTAGTTTCCGTTCATATTCGTTTGTATGCCCATCAAAAACCATTTTGTTTCACTTTCATTTCAAAGTAATGGGTTAGGAGTAGGATGCTTTTAGTTGCTTAATCCAGCCGACAATGTTTTGGATGTGTTGAGCTGATAATTTATGCGTAAATGGAACCTGCGATAATACATTTGACTCGTCATTGTGAGTCACTATGTGCAATGCAAGTACAGCTGTAGCGAACACTTAGTTTCGACGCTCATGGACTCGAGCCGCTGCTTGATCAATTAAGCGGATTGTCACCCTGTAATCTTCATGCCATGCGCGTTCAACAGCTCTGTCATACTACCTGAAAAAGCCGCACCCTGTGTGCGAAGTCGTAAATTTTGGATCATTACTATTAGCGGGTTGGTCTACCCTCTATTCAATTGTAAACGGAAATCTGAAGCCGTATTTGATCTAAACACCCAGGATTCTTGTTAACAAACCCGCCAAATAAAAGAAACAATAGAGAACTATATTTTATGCTGTTATGGTAGGATGTGTTGCAAATAAATGGTTTCTTGTTTGCTTTATACCGTTACCGCCCAGAAAATCCAATATTGTTCGCATTCATCACCGCTGTCGCGCAGTTACTTTGGATTGTGCGAGCTGTAATAGGTCGGCATGTATGTTATTTCTCCGATTTACATTACATTTTGGGGTTAACGACTATGATTAAGTCAGGATTGTACATTAGTATGCTCATAGTCAAGTCACCGTAGATTTTAATGTCCCCTGTCTTTTGTCTGGTGACAACTACTGATTCTCCAATTAGTAAAAGCATCGACCCTATGCTAATCAAACTAATGGTAATAACTTTCTACTCTTATTCTATTGAAAGAGAAAGTTGGACCCATCACGAAAAGACGAAGTCCGTCAGATGACGTATTGAGTGATGAATATATTATCAGTGAACATCCATTGCAGAAAAAAATTACAGAGGAAACTGTCCCATACGTTGTTCAAGTGGGTGAGCAAGAGGAAGATTTAGATTATGATTTGAAATATGGGAACAATGACGTGCCCGAAGTCGCAGGCGATAGCAAAGATACCCAAGTCAAAGATGAAGAACTTGACAAACATGAAAATAAACCAGAAAGGTTCGTAAATGTCTGTCGAATGATATGATTATATTTATCCGCTTCTGACACAAGCTGTTTCTTTTTTTAGTTCAGTTACTACCCACCAGATTAGTGGTATGTTCCATTTGGTTAAGTTACACTTTACGTGTCAGAAAGCTGTAGAAATTTGTGGATAAGTAACTTACCGAAATTGGTGAAGGCTGCAGATTTAAAGCAACATTTTAGCAAGGCGGGGAAGGTATGTTTTTTGCCAATCAGGATAGTTTTTCAGGTAGTATCAGCTACTGTGGTTATGAGCACCCGCACACCTGGAGGTTGCTTTGGATTTATACAGATGGCTTCTGCTGAAGAGGCAGCATCTGCTGCTAGAGCCTATGATTTAACAGAGTTTGGAGGATGCATACTGCGGGTTGAAGCTACAGAACGAAAAGCACCAATTCAATCAAACAAAGCAAATGATCGAGTAGCTGGATTAAACAAATTAAAAACTAGTATGCCTGATTCTCGACGGACGGTATCCAGACCGTTGGTATCTCGAAGACGTTATATTGGTATGTCAACATAATTTTGTCATTGTTCATATAATTAGCCAACAGACAGCGATTGTTGCGTCGTGCTGCCATTAGAACTGCTATTTTGAGGGAACAACGGAAAAGATCCGAATATTTATCCGCCAATAATCGTCCACATTCCATTAAGAAAACTCCTATCAGAAGACCTTTATACCAGTTTACTAGACCAAATTATAGAATGTCAAAAGATAGTTTGGTGAGTATGCTACAAAATAATACTATTTTTGGAGCGATCAGTCTCGTAGTTGCATTTTGAACTCGTACTGTGCAGTATGTTATGATATCTAATCACGGTTTGCTAATCATAAGGATGTCACGTGGTTTCGTGAAGTTGCTTTTCGTGTGAATTTACGATTAAATTTTCTTTGGAGACGGGAGCTCTTCGAAGCCTTAACACAGGCGCTTTAATGGATAGTTCACATGTCCCTGTGAAGAACGAAACCTTGTTGCAGAGGTAAAGTACTTTTACCAATTTAGTTCTTGTGTCGTCATATGTAAGTATCAGAGTTATCATATTTGGAAAATGGCATGTAATAATCCCCAAATTTACAAAAGACCAACTGCACATTTATCAAAGTACAGCAAGAATTTTGAGTTATTATTCGACTCTATATGTTGGAGAGAAATTCAACAATTTAAATCAATTCCTCGGAAAAGCATTGAAAGCAACTGTGCGAAGTTTCTGATGTGTATTTCATGAACAAATCCCAAGAATCTGAATTAAATGAATTCTGTTCGGTTTTTAATTTCAAAAAGTGCTGAAGTATTCGTCGGATTTGATTAGTTCCAATTACTTATCTCATTGTTTATGAATGTTTTTGATCTATACGTTTTTATAGCGTTCACGAGGCGGTCTGGCCCTTGCATCTAAACATAAAAGTATTTCACAGCGACAAAGCTCTTCACGGATCAAGTAAGTGAATAACTGATCTTGATATTTTTTTGTACTTATTTTAGTAACCTGACATGCACAATTTATTAGCCAGAATGGAAATTTTTGTATTTGATTCATCTTGTGAACCTAACATTTTGTCCTCTCAGTTAGACTCATATTCCAAACAATCGTTCTCCAAATGTCTATATTCTGTTTTAATGAACCATTTACTACTCGAATACTCGTGGTTCTGGATCGACTCCGTTGCTAGTCCAATAATTACGGGATTTAGCTACTGCTACTTTGTGTATCTTGTCAGTTTTATTTTCGGTTTAGGGATTTTCTCACATATCCTGGTACCAAGTTTTCAGATGTTTTAAATTATTTGTATTCAGTGTTGCATCATACTAAGGGCTTATTTTTAGGAACACGAACATACTGTTCATACTATTAGGTTGTTGGCAAACCTAGTTTCCAAATTGAAACGGCGTATAACCCTTACCACTAATCGCTACGTTACTCCATCACTAAGTTTATATTTATAGCCGTTGTTAGAATAGTACTTTGGTAATTTTTGACCCATGTACCTACTCAAAACTACTCGGCTAGCGGAGTCACGAAATATACTTGATATAAAGCACAAATAATTATAACTTTAACCCTAAAAGAACTAAGGATTCGAAATTTCGCCAGTAAATTTTGACCAAACCCGATCCCTCCTCAGTTTTCCCTAATTCACCTAATGAATGTTTCGATTCTTTCATATCACTTAAGGATGTCACAAAAAAGTTAGAATTTGTGATGAAACATTTAAGCTACTCTACCCATAAAAATAAAAATAATAGCAAACCAACTTTTTTCTTAGTGATTAATGAACTCAACATAGATATGTACTGTTAATCCACAAATTAGGGGGTGGACAGTTGACACTTCCCAACTCTTCATACTGCAATGGTTATTTCTATTTTCGAACCCGTGATGTAAACTCGTTTCCTAGTTATTACCTTATAAAGTAGGGTTGTGACTGTAAGGCTTCAGGGACAACTGCTTAGTGCCATTTGCACGGTTGTATAAAGCAATTGTCACTATTATTTTCGTTTATAGTTCTTGACATGGTGCTTGACGTTCTAGATCTCCCGTGGAGTCACATTAAAATCTTGCAACCGGCCCCAAAAATCTGTGTAGCAAAAGGAGGGCATTCTAATTTTAATGCTTATCTTTCCCATCATCGTCTGCATAATGGCATCACTAGAGATGGTGGTAGTCCTCGTAAAACGTCACAACCACCATTCCCTAGTATATGCAATATTACGTTTTCTCACTCGGACCTAAAATTACCAGTATTTTGTCTTACTACTCTACAACTAACCTACGTAACCTAGTGGAAAATCAATGAACAAACGTTCCAGTTATTATAGTTTATCCACGCCATTACGTTAACGGCTACGGTTGGGTCTCAGTGGTGAACGGTCTTTGGGTGCCCTAAGCGTGTCTAAACGTTTTTTTTTCTACTTTTTGTTTAGTTATCCGAAGAAATACCAGTTTGGTTCTTGTCATAAACAGTTTCAAACTTATTGACATACGTGGCATCATATTTATTCTCACACAACCTGTTACAGCAGTGGAATTTTGATTTGTTTTGTAATTGATATAGAACGATTAAATACGCCTAGTTATTCTTAAGAGTAATACTCAACTGCATATTTCTGTTTGCTCAGTAACCACGCAGTTCTAGAACTTTAGCTCTTTTTGAACGTTTTAGCACCAATCATGGAACACAGTCGCTGTTACAAAGAAGATTAAATTATACTGTCAATCGAAGGCTGCGTGAGCCAATTCGTATTCACAAAAGTGCCAGTGTTTCACATCGATCGTCCAAATCATTTTTGCCTAGAGTACACAGAAGTTCAAATATATGTCCAGAAAACCATCGAAGCTGTCTTTCTCCACCTTCCCGTTTAATCCCCTTGGATACACTTACTTCAAAACGGAACCCAACTTTTCGCACTAATCGTCCTGTAGAAAGAGATATACGTGAACCCTATCGCCCTGTTTTGCCAGAACGAAAGTATCATCCTCAGTCACCTGGTCGATCACATGAATCAGGTCGGTATGCACGAAACACTCAATCATCAGTCTATACAGGAAGAAACACTGCTAAATCCGTATACGATAGTCGTTCTCGTCAAAGTCACTTGATGACTCGTTCTGAACCGCGGTAAGCCATGGCTTTATATCTATTCCACGAAATTCATTGTCACTTCTCTTCATTTGTAGCACTTAAAACCCATCGAGGATCCAGAAGTATATTGTTAATCTGAGTGAAATATGTCAGTTATGCTTATAAAGCTTGGATTCTCATGTAGGAGTTACATTCGTCCTCATAGTTTGAGGCTGCACATCGGTCGCATGTGATATACACACTGAAGATAAATATGTCTACAGTATTGTTGTGATTTGTCTACTGGTGTAATTGAAAATTTTCTCACTGAATCAGATTATTTGATTAGTTTTATTTAAGATTGTTATGAAATGTTAGCCAGGTTTTACTTTTGTTATATGTTGAGTATTCAGCTCAAAAAGCATTTTGATTTCATGTTTAACAATGTCTGTTGTAGACAGATCAGTATACATTTAGTGTTAATACGATAATGTAGTACTATACCAAGTACGTCTACTCAGATTGGTTTCAGTTAAGGATTTTTAAAATGTACTGATTGAATTACATGGTTTTCAATATAGATATTTCGTCTTTTAAAGCCGTTTGTGATGTTAAGTTAATAATTATTTTTGGTATGACTTTTTCAGCTAGTTACATTCATTGTTACTTTGACATCCGGCAAAAATTGATAGAGCTCAGGTTATCCGTAATGTTTGTGGAATTAGTTATTGTGAAGGTGGCTTAAGATTTTATAATTCCCGAGAGTTAATTATCTGAATACAGTGGTGTTATATGAGATAAAATCAATATCATTTTAGTAGAAATGGAAAGAATAAATATAACTTGTTCTCTGAATTTCACACCTAACACTCCATAATTCATGTTTGTGTAGTTAGTTCTCATATGACCGTCGTCATCATTAGCTTTTGGTGCCGTTCGATAAGACTGTAAGGACGAAACGGCCATCTAGTGCTTTCAAGTTTTCAATGGTGGTCTAACATTGGTCGGTTCATGATCTCAATAAAAACTCAACAATCTTCATAACCCATTACTCATATCTATAAGCAGTCGTTTGTTAACTAGTTAGTTTATCTTCTCCCTTATATTTCCTAACCCCTAGTAAAATCGTTGTAACTCATACATTGGGACAACTTATTACCCTCATTTAGGCAAACTTACTGCGCAGCCGTCCATTCTGTATCACTACACAGCTTTGAAAAGTAACATATAAAAGAGTAGGCTACAAGTATTTAAAAGTAGTTATTTCCGAAGAATTTCTCGTGCATGATGAGACCAAAAATGATTAATTCTGAGATTAAAGGTGGGGTATTGAGCGAATGTGGCAAATCACTTGATGAGGCAGTGGATCTTTAACTAAGATGGCTTGGATATGTGTTGTTTATGCCCAAACACCACCTACCTCGTCGCGCAATGCTGACGCGAATAGGACTTGGTTGAAAACTAGGAAGCGCCAAGTTAATTTATCTGACCAATACACTACGTCATTGACTGTTAAACTGGGCAGTTTGTGTGTTGATTATCTGGTTTGGGCTCAATTGGTGATTGCCTAGAATATATCGCATTCACTGTATCTCCCACTTGATCTTAGATTTCCATTTTTTCTTTTTGAACCGTATTTTCCAATGTTAAGTCTTTCTCACTAACAATGATACAACCACTATTTTGACTTCCTTACAATTCGTCTTATTGATTTCATCTCCTCGTGCTGATATGGTGTAGAAACTTAGTCCGTCCGGAATTTGTACCAGGTTTTACATTGATTATGACCGAACTATATTTTAACGTTGTTATTTATATAAAGCGAGTGGTCTAGTGGCTAGGGCGTTCAATTGTCAGCCAATAAGTTTCAGGTTTGAACTCCGTTCCATGCAATTTAGTTTGGGTAACCGAGTAAATATCATTAGCTCTCGCATTTAGAATGGTTCATACCCAAATACCTGGTTAATGAGTTAATTTAACTTAGTTTTTGTGATTATTTATTTCACGTTCACTACACTATCATTTAAGTGATTTATTGGGCAATAAACTATATCCGTTACTTTACAATGAATTTTCATTTGTTTGTGTATATAGGATTTACTAAAATTAGATAATTATATAAGTTTATTTCTATATTTGTATGTATATGCACGAACATAAGCTTGATGGTAGTGATGTGTAATTTACTTATTACCAATTCCTATTTTTAGCTATACGAATTACAGCAATTTTGATAGTCGAAAAATGGCCGTAGCCTCTCGTACAGATATGTATTCTGAAGAACGTTATCGAACTCACGATAGTCATCTATCTGAAGTACGCAGAACTCAATTAAGGTCAAACCCCCCTACTTCACGAATAAGAGTTGAGGAGAGTAAACGAGAGTACCGTGCAGTTAGTAGAAGCCCACCAAGGTCAAGAGATTCTACGATGATGCGCCCTTACCCAGTTTCTCTCAATTTCAATCGCCATCGCACGGAAACCAGTCATCGTGGCCGCAGTCCACTGATGTTACAGTCTACACCACACAGGCCCGAAATCGTGGAGTATGAACACCGTTCAGGTACGTAATCGTCAAGTTAATATAAGGGGCACAATTGATTGATCACTGGGTGGTGATCAATCTCATGCTTGTCTAGTCCTTATTAGTGCAGATCGAATGCTATCGATCATGTTGCAATGTGGCCACCAGTCTAGGTGACTCGGCACTGCGGGCACTATGTATTGAGATTAGATGGTGGTTGGAGGTAATTAACAGGAAATCCTGCACCCGGGTTTCGTGCTACTTGGCATTCGTCAGCAAGGTGTAACTGTAATCTTGAAGGAACTGGTGCTCCTTGAAGGACTCGATCTCGATCTCAGTCCTACAGGAGGTTGGTCGCGGCCCAGATAGCCCAGTGGTAACCTCTTTGACTGAGAAGCTGAGTGACACGGAATCGAATCAGTCAGGGAGCACCAGTTTCCTCACGATTACAGGTACACCTTGCTGACGAGTGCCAAGTAGCACGAAACCCGGGTCCAGGCTTTCCTGTTGACTACCTCCAACCACCATCTAATAATATAAGGGGCCCCAGCCGATTCATCTGTAATTCTTTTGTTGGTTATCTGTCTCTATTGATAATCGTAGTGTAAGGTAATATATCTAGCACTTGGATTAACTGACTGCCTTATCTTTCTTTTTATTCCCAAGATATCTGAGTTTTTATAGTCGTTTCTCGATAAAGACTATATGGATCACCTTCGTTTGGAACTCACGTTTCGAAAACCCAGTTAGAAATCGATTGTATGTCTGCTAATTTCAAGTCGTAGTTACTTCAATATCTACAGATTTTACTTAGTCTTTTTGAACGCTACTAAGTACAAACTAGAAATATTCTTTTCACTCATGGTTTCAGAATTTAATTAGTGATCTTATTCACTTTGATTAGGTTTTCATTAGTATTGTGCATTAATCAGTAATATATTTGTAATATCATAATCTGTAGAAGTCTCAATTCCTGGTGTTTTACAATTTATCGGGAGTCGCTTTTTCAGGTAATAAATACCTGCGGTCGGAGTCTAAAAATATATGAGCCACACAAACGAATACTGAATAAAAATAAATAATAGAATGAAGATACAATAAAGATTAGAGGAGTAATGAGATACCATTCAGCTTATAATCCAACCATAATCGAATAATTATAGGCCCTCTCATTACAGGAAGATCACTAGTGGTTTCTTTTTCTTCCCATATTTCGTAGTCTCAAGCTTCCAGGTTTCACTATTTCTAGATGTTTTTCAAGTGGCATATATGTAATTATCATATTGATGACCCTTTTATTTTGATTGTTCAGTCACCTGTGTTTATTATTGAATATTATCTTTTGATACGAATAAAGTTATAAGAAATCGATAAAAACTCGAAATAAATGAACTCATATTTTTCTACTTTGATTGTTGTTCTTGCTTTATCCAAATTTCTGAGAAAAAATAATATCAAATTTCAAGACTTTGGAAATTATTAAAACGTGTACATTAAGTGTTCAAAACCGTTTGTTTAGGAAAAGCGTTTTCCTTTTTGTATTGTTAACTGAAAATGTCGCTAGAGAACGGAATACTGGAAGTAATGTCTATACATTTCTTGTAGTGTATCTGACCATTAATTTGTCACGTCTGATTTTCAAAAAATGTATAGATTTCTACTAACTAGTTCATTCAAATCGTTGGCAAACCAATATATATATATATATATATAATTCTATTTCAAGACTATGCAAATTTGTTTCTTCTTTACTTTCAATATGTATTTTCCAATTGTAGAGCCAAGAACGAATTGGCAAACTGAAAGACGTTCCAAAGTTTTCTCATCTCCATCACAGTCGTGGAGGCCGGCAAACAATGCATTTTTCCTATCTCCTACATATGAAAATCGAAATACAGGTCGCCGATACCAATAACATTTATTGCTTATTATATGTATATGAATATGTTATATTCAAATTTGACAAGCAATTCTCTACTTATATCAATTACATTTAGCAAATGTATTAATTGTGCGAAAATTTTTATCCATGAAGGTTGTTGATCTGCATTCATTCATATAAAGCATTTTCTTTAGAAATGTTTTAACTTTGATCCTTCACACCGTAATTGAGCTATTTATTAATCTACTATCCCAATCTAGTTATACGATGCCCGATGGTATTTAGAAGATTTGCAAATTAATTAGCATATTGATATTTGTAGAAAACTCGAAGAAATAAGGATTCAAAAAAACTGGTCACAAATAAAAATCTGAAACGAGTATAATCCAGTGACAACATCCTATTGCATAATCGAAAAATTAAGGATAAATATCAACCATTGAATCCGAAAGAATACGTGAAAACTGCAAAAAATTCTATTTCAGTAAATTTTGTTAGCACCGTTGTGGTTTAGTGTCTGAGAAGTGATGTGTTCTCACTGGAGCTAGGAATGCATTGTGAGGGTTAATAATGAGTGTTTGGAGGATGTATGCACTTGAGTGTGTGTTGGTAATTGTGAGATTTTGTGGGAAGGTGGGTGGATGAGTGAATTGATAAGGCGGGGCAGCGATATACTGGTGTGTGTGAAAGTTTGTCTTTATTTACAAACAAACCAATAAGTAATATTGGTGATGTGATTGCGATTAGTGTAGTTAGAGTTTCGATTGTTAAATGAGGTGTGGATGTTTACATGTTTGTCAGTGTATCGGATGGTGTTGTTGTTGGTGTTTGAGTAAGAACCCTTGTTGATCCGTCCTGGAGATGTCTAGTTTTCAGGAAGCCAACGACGAAGGGGAAATGTTTTCTGGTCTCTTCGGTGAACCAGGATTGTACTGGTTCTTACTTAGCACCAGGTAGATGTGTTTAGTGTGAGTGTGACGAATGATGTCTAGTATTGGTTTGTGCTGGGACGTGTGTTGAACTGTGTTGATTGTTCATAGCTTAGGGATGACTTGTACTGTGATGTTTGTCGTATGTCTGTTGATGATCAGGTGGTTGTGTGTGTGGTGTAGTTGTTGTTATTGATCTGTTTGCCTGTTTGTGTTTGTATGGTAGGCAATAGTGTTGTTGGTTTTGTTGATTTTGAATATGGTTGGACTGGGATCATTGGGTTGGGGTGTTTGTTTGTTAGTGTAGTTGACGACCCATTTATTCAGTGTTTGTAACTTTCAGTGTATCACCTTGTTTGTCAATGGTATTGATTATTCTATTGGCGTGTTTGTGTGTGGTGGGGTGTGTAGTTTTGTTATATTTGTGAGTGATTGTGGGAGGTATTTCTGAGATGTGTTCTGTTGAGCGTGAGGCGTGCTGATGAGCTTGTAGACATGCTGAGGGAATTAGGTGAGTGATTGTAGTGAGATGTGTGGTTTTCGTTCGAGCTGTTCGAGCTGGATTGATTGATGATGTATAGTGTGTTGTTCAGCTGGGAGACAGACGGTGTGTGTGGTGATAGTGTAAGTGTGCGTGTAGAACGTTAATGAGTAAATTAGTTTAGTGTTGAATTTGTGTGGTTTGATGTGGGGTTACAGTTTGTGGTAATCTCTGAGTAATGAAAATTCTGTTCATAGTTTGTTGTAATGTGTGTTAATGGTTTGACGGTAGTGGTGTGTGTGTTTTTGTGAGAGTTTATATTTGAATGAAGTGAAGTATTTCAGTAAATTTTGTTAGCACCGTTGTGGTTTAGTGTCTGAGAAGTGATGTGTTCTCACTGGAGCTAGGAATGCATTGTGAGGGTTAATAATGAGTGTTTGGAGGATGTATACACTTGAGTGTGTGTTGGTAATTGTGAGATTTTGTGGGAAGGTGGGTGGATGAGTGAATTGATAAGGCGGGGCAGCGATATACTGGTGTGTGTGAAAGTTTGTCTTTATTTACAAACAAACCAATAAGTAATATTGGTGATGTGATTGCGATTAGTGTAGTTAGAGTTTCGATTGTTAAATGAGGTGTGGATGTTTACATGTTTGTCAGTGTATCGGATGGTGTTGTTGTTGGTGTTTGAGTAAGAACCCTTGTTGATCCGTCCTGGAGATGTCTAGTTTTCAGGAAGCCAACGACGAAGGGGAAATGTTTTCTGGTCTCTTCGGTGAACCAGGATTGTACTGGTTCTTACTTAGCACCAGGTAGATGTGTTTAGTGTGAGTGTGACGAATGATGTCTAGTATTGGTTTGTGCTGGGACGTGTGTTGAACTGTGTTGATTGTTCATAGCTTAGGGATGACTTGTACTGTGATGTTTGTCGTATGTCTGTTGATGATCAGGTGGTTGTGTGTGTGGTGTAGTTGTTGTTATTGATCTGTTTGCCTGTTTGTGTTTGTATGGTAGGCAATAGTGTTGTTGGTTTTGTTGATTTTGAATATGGTTGGACTGGGATCATTGGGTTGGGGTGTTTGTTTGTTAGTGTAGTTGACGACCCATTTATTCAGTGTTTGTAACTTTCAGTGTATCACCTTGTTTGTCAATGGTATTGATTATTCTATTGGCGTGTTTGTGTGTGGTGGGGTGTGTAGTTTTGTTATATTTGTGAGTGATTGTGGGAGGTATTTCTGAGATGTGTTCTGTTGAGCGTGAGGCGTGCTGATGAGCTTGTAGACATGCTGAGGGAATTAGGTGAGTGATTGTAGTGAGATGTGTGGTTTTCGTTCGAGCTGTTCGAGCTGGATTGATTGATGATGTATAGTGTGTTGTTCAGCTGGGAGACAGACGGTGTGTGTGGTGATAGTGTAAGTGTGCGTGTAGAACGTTAATGAGTAAATTAGTTTAGTGTTGAATTTGTGTGGTTTGATGTGGGGTTACAGTTTGTGGTAATCTCTGAGTAATGAAAATTCTGTTCATAGATTGTTGTAATGTGTGTTGATGGTTTGACGGTAGTGGTGTGTGTGTTTTTGTGAGAGTTTATATTTGAATGAAGTGAAGTATTTCAGTAAATTTTGTTAGCACCGTTGTGGTTTAGTGTCTGAGAAGTGATGTGTTCTCACTGGAGCTAGGAATGCATTGTGAGGGTTAATAATGAGTGTTTGGAGGATGTATGCACTTGAGTGTGTGTTGGTAATTGTGAGATTTTGTGGGAAGGTGGGTGGATGAGTGAATTGATAAGGCGGGGCAGCGATATACTGGTGTGTGTGAAAGTTTGTCTTTATTTACAAACAAACCAATAAGTAATATTGGTGATGTGATTGCGATTAGTGTAGTTAGAGTTTCGATTGTTAAATGAGGTGTGGATGTTTACATGTTTGTCAGTGTATCGGATGGTGTTGTTGTTGGTGTTTGAGTAAGAACCCTTGTTGATCCGTCCTGGAGATGTCTAGTTTTCAGGAAGCCAACGACGAAGGGGAAATGTTTTCTGGTCTCTTCGGTGAACCAGGATTGTACTGGTTCTTACTTAGCACCAGGTAGATGTGTTTAGTGTGAGTGTGACGAATGATGTCTAGTATTGGTTTGTGCTGGGACGTGTGTTGAACTGTGTTGATTGTTCATAGCTTAGGGATGACTTGTACTGTGATGTTTGTCGTATGTCTGTTGATGATCAGGTGGTTGTGTGTGTGGTGTAGTTGTTGTTATTGATCTGTTTGCCTGTTTGTGTTTGTATGGTAGGCAATAGTGTTGTTGGTTTTGTTGATTTTGAATATGGTTGGACTGGGATCATTGGGTTGGGGTGTTTGTTTGTTAGTGTAGTTGACGACCCATTTATTCAGTGTTTGTAACTTTCAGTGTATCACCTTGTTTGTCAATGGTATTGATTATTCTATTGGCGTGTTTGTGTGTGGTGGGGTGTGTAGTTTTGTTATATTTGTGAGTGATTGTGGGAGGTATTTCTGAGATGTGTTCTGTTGAGCGTGAGGCGAGCTGATGAGCTTGTAGACATGCTGAGGGAATTAGGTGAGTGATTGTAGTGAGATGTGTGGTTTTCGTTCGAGCTGTTCGAGCTGGATTGATTGATGATGTATAGTGTGTTGTTCAGCTGGGAGACAGACGGTGTGTGTGGTGATAGTGTAAGTGTGCGTGTAGAACGTTAATGAGTAAATTAGTTTAGTGTTGAATTTGTGTGGTTTGATGTGGGGTTACAGTTTGTGGTAATCTCTGAGTAATGAAAATTCTGTTCATAGTTTGTTGTAATGTGTGTTGATGGTTTGACGGTAGTGGTGTGTGTGTTTTTGTGAGAGTTTATATTTGAATGAAGTGAAGTATTTCAGTAAATTTTGTTAGCACCGTTGTGGTTTAGTGTCTGAGAAGTGATGTGTTCTCACTGGAGCTAGGAATGCATTGTGAGGGTTAATAATGAGTGTTTGGAGGATGTATACACTTGAGTGTGTGTTGGTAATTGTGAGATTTTGTGGGAAGGTGGGTGGATGAGTGAATTGATAAGGCGGGGCAGCGATATACTGGTGTGTGTGAAAGTTTGTCTTTATTTACAAACAAACCAATAAGTAATATTGGTGATGTGATTGCGATTAGTGTAGTTAGAGTTTCGATTGTTAAATGAGGTGTGGATGTTTACATGTTTGTCAGTGTATCGGATGGTGTTGTTGTTGGTGTTTGAGTAAGAACCCTTGTTGATCCGTCCTGGAGATGTCTAGTTTTCAGGAAGCCAACGACGAAGGGGAAATGTTTTCTGGTCTCTTCGGTGAACCAGGATTGTACTGGTTCTTACTTAGCACCAGGTAGATGTGTTTAGTGTGAGTGTGACGAATGATGTCTAGTATTGGTTTGTGCTGGGACGTGTGTTGAACTGTGTTGATTGTTCATAGCTTAGGGATGACTTGTACTGTGATGTTTGTCGTATGTCTGTTGATGATCAGGTGGTTGTGTGTGTGGTGTAGTTGTTGTTATTGATCTGTTTGCCTGTTTGTGTTTGTATGGTAGGCAATAGTGTTGTTGGTTTTGTTGATTTTGAATATGGTTGGACTGGGATCATTGGGTTGGGGTGTTTGTTTGTTAGTGTGGTTGACGACCCATTTATTCAGTGTTTGTAACTTTCAGTGTATCACCTTGTTTGTCAATGGTATTGATTATTCTATTGGCGTGTTTGTGTGTGGTGGGGTGTGTAGTTTTGTTATATTTGTGAGTGATTGTGGGAGGTATTTCTGAGATGTGTTCTGTTGAGCGTGAGGCGTGCTGATGAGCTTGTAGACATGCTGAGGGAATTAGGTGAGTGATTGTAGTGAGATGTGTGGTTTTCGTTCGAGCTGTTCGAGCTGGATTGATTGATGATGTATAGTGTGTTGTTCAGCTGGGAGACAGACGGTGTGTGTGGTGATAGTGTAAGTGTGCGTGTAGAACGTTAATGAGTAAATTAGTTTAGTGTTGAATTTGTGTGGTTTGATGTGGGGTTACAGTTTGTGGTAATCTCTGAGTAATGAAAATTCTGTTCATAGTTTGTTGTAATGTGTGTTGATGGTTTGACGGTAGTG